AACTACAGAACACTAAAGAAAGAAATTAAACAAGATCTTAGGAGATGGGACAATCTCCCATGCTTTTGGATAGGCAGAATTATTATAGTCAAAATGGCCATACTACCAAACCTGTTATATACATTTAATGCAATTCCTATTAAAATCCCAATGACATTCTTCATAGAACTAGCAAAAGCAGTCACGAAATTCATTTGGAAAAATAAGAGACCCAGAATAGTCAAAGCAATCTTCAGCAAGAAGACTGAAGCAGGAGGCATCCCAATACCAGACCTTAAACTTTACTACAGAGCAACAGTAACAAAAACAGCAAAAACAAAACAGACATACAGACCAGCGGTATAAAATAGAAGACCCAGATACAAACCTACATAAATACAGTTACCTCATACAAGACAAAGCAGCCAAAAACACACAGTGGAGAAAAGATAGCCTATTACAAATGGTGCTGGGAAAACTGAAAATCCATACATAGCTAAATGAAGTTAAGAGGGTGACCTCTCTCACCCTGCACAAAAATCAACTCAAAGTGAATCAAAGACTTAGACACAAGAACAAAGACCCTGCGCCTAAGAAAAAGTAGGCGCAAATCTTCATCATGTTGGCTTAGGACCTAACTTCCTTAACAAGACTCCTAAAGCGCCAAGTAGTAGAATCAACAATCAATAAATGGGATGGATTCAAATAAAAAGCTTCTTCTCAGCAAAGGAAAAACAATAATGTGATGAGAGAGCCTACAGGATGGGGAAAAGTCTTTCCCACACACACCTCAGAGAGAGCACAAATCTCCAGAATATAAAAAGAAACCAAAAAACCAAATAACACAATTGATAAATGGGTTAAGGAACTGAACAGACACTTCACAGAAGAAGAAATACAAATGGTCAGCAAACATACAAAAAAAAGTTCAACTTCTCTAGCAATTAAAGAAATGCAAATCAAAACTACTCTAAGGGGCTGGGGATATAGCTCAGTTGGTAGAGTTTGCCTCACATGCACAAGGCCCTGGGTTCATTCAATCCCCATGGTGCCAGGGGGCACCACGGGGGGGGGGGGGGGGGGGGGGGGGCGCGGCTACTCTAAGATTTTATCTCACTCCAGTCAGAATGGCAATTATCAAAAATACAAGAAATGATAAGTGTTAGCAAGGATGTGGGGAAAACATACACTCATATGTTGCTGGTGAGACCGCAAATTAGTGCAATCACTTATGGAAAGCAGTATGGCGATAACTCAGAAAACTTGGAATGGAACCACCATTTGACCCAGCTATCCCACTCCTCAGTTTATACCCAAAGGACTTAAAAACATCATACTACAGTGACGCAGCCACATCAGTGTTTATAGCAGCTCAATTCATAATAGCTAAACTATGAAACCAACCTAGATGCTCTTCCACAGATGAACAAAGAAAATGTGGTACATATACAAAATGGAATATCACTCAGCATTAAAGAAGAATGAAGTTATGGTATTTTCAGGTAAATGGATGGAACTAGAGAATACCATGCTAAGTGAAATAAGCCAATTCCAAAAAACCAAAAGCCAAATGTTTTCTCTGATAAATGAATGCTGATCCATAGTGGGGCGGGGGCATAGTGAAGAATGACGGAACTTTGGTTTGTGTAGAGGGGAGTGAGGGGAGGGGGAGGCCTGTGGGGATGGGAAGAACAGTAGAAAGACACAGATATTATTACCCTATATACATGTATGAGAACACTAGAGTGACTCTGAACCATGTATAGCCAGAGGAATGAGAAGTTGTAGTGTATCAAAATGCATAAATAGATAAAGCAAAAAAAGAACTTCCATCCAGAACATATAAACAAGTCTCAAAACTCAATGATGGCAATTTTTAAACCATTTTAATCTATCTTTTATTCCATCTCTTTTAAAGGAAAAACACTTGAACAGATCTTTCATTGAAGAAGATACAAGTATTGCATAGTTAAAGATGATCAACATTGTTGACCACTAGGGAAATGCAAGTTAAACTAGTCAAAACATCGTCTGCCTTCCTACAGCCAGTGCTGACATCAACAGAAGGCACAGGAGCCCTCCAACACGCGAGGTGCAAAGTGGGGCATCCCCTTGAGAAGACAGTTTCTGGCAGATACTTTTAAACACACACTACCATAGAATCCTGCCACACCAGTCCTAAGCACAGATCCAAGAGAAACAAATGTTCATCTCTCTATCTGCTAAAAGGTTAAGAATGTGTGAAGCCACTGTGTCAGCAGGACTGTGGGGCAACCTAACTTCACACCTTGTTGACAGAAATCCCAACAGCCACATCAAAGAAAACAATGTGCACTTACCTTTTAACAACTTGCAGGTATTGACCCCAAAAATATACTTCCAATGACGTAAAAGTATATATGCAAGGTCATTTACCTCAACACTGCTTGTAAAGCAAATTACAGAAACAACCTAAAACACCCACTCACAGGAATAGCTGCTCTGACAGATGAAGGAAGATGACCTCTGAAACAGAAATACAATGATTTCAAGGTAGGATGCTACAGGAAGAAAGCCAAGAGCAAAATAGTATCTGTAGCCAGGCCCAGCAGAGCCCACCAGCAATCCCAGCAACTTAGGAGGCGAGACCTAGGGAACTCAGCGAGACCCTGTCTCTAAATAAAAAATTAAAAATAAATAAAGGGCTGGACATGTGACTCAGTGGTTAGGCACCCGTGGGTTCAATCCCTAGTACCCCCCCCAAAAAAAAGAATACTACAACATACACTGCATGTAAGAAACGGGGTGTGAGAACTTGTGCATGAGTGTCCTCTCTGCCCTGGAGATACAGAAAGAGCAAACGAGAACTCAAGAAACTGCTCGTCTCCGGGTAGGAAAGGGGGGGACACAAGGGGTGGCAGGATGAGGAGGAGCAGTACTGAGTGTGGCTCTCGGCTTTAGTTGTTTTTGTTGTCTTACACTGGGGATGGAACCCATGAGAGCTCTGCCACTGAGCTACATCCCCAGTCCTTTTTATTTTTTGAGAAAGGTCTCATTAAATTCCTCAGCCTCCCTAGCTTCTGGGATTTCAGACTGACCACCACACCTGGCTGACTCTGGGTTTTAGAACCACAGTAGTATTTGACTTACTCAACAAATATAAAATCAACCTAGATAGGAGAGGAGCAAAAACATAATAAAAACAGTAAAACAAAATAATATAAATAAATAAAATGACCACAATAAAGAGGTAAGGAATTTGGGCTGTGGTTGCAGCTCAGTGGTAGAGCGCTCACCTAGCATGCGTGAGGCACTGGGTTCGATCCTCAGCACCACATATCAATAAATAAATAAAGGTATTGTGTCCATGTACAACTAAAAAATTAAAAATGTATATTTTAAAAAGAGGTAAGAATTTGAAAAATCGAATCTAAGAACTCTGGAACACAATGTTTTGTATATATACTTACACTAAAGACAAAAAGAACTGTACACAAATATTTTACTTCAAGTAGTAAACTTGCTATTTTTTTTTCTATTTTACTTTATGCAGTACTGGGAATTGAACCCAGGGCGCTTTACCACTGACCTGTACCCCCAGCCATTTTTATTTTTTGAGACAGCCTAGCCAAGTTGCCCAGGCTAGCCTCGAACTTGAGATCTCCTGCCTCAGCTGCCCAGTTACTGGGATCACGGGCATGGTCACCCAGCCCAGAGTAAATCTGTTCTTCAGAGAAGTGTAGATTAACAACTTTGAAACTAATTTGTATTTCAGAATTGATCAGTTAAGTAAATATATAATAGATAAAGACAGCCAGGTTTCTCACTATCACAAATGCTGTGACATTGGCTCAGGACTGAAGGTACTGGAGGAACTCACAGTTTTAATCAGTACAGACAGATGTGTATGTGTGTGTGCGTGCATACATGTTTTTCTTTCACATGCCCAGGTGTTCCCAGAAAAGGAAGCCAGGAAGGCAGAACGCTGGAACACAACAGGAAACCTAAAACTAAAGGGCATTAGTGGGACACGGGCAGACCCTGGATAAGCCCACTGTGAGGTCACAGCACTGCTTCCAAGTCAGCTGGACCCGACTCTGGCAACTGTTCTGAGACCACATACGACATCAGCATTTCACAAAGCTGATACGGGCACCTAGGAACTCTGTGCTAGTTCTCATGAAAATTTTGTTCAATCTAACATTCCTTCAAAAATGAAAGCTAAAAATTATAAAATGTTTAATTTAAATAAAATCAACCTAGATAGGAGAGGAACAAAAACAGAATAAAAACAGGAAAACAAACTAATGTAAACATAAAATTTCTGACTTGGAAATTTTAAAAATTTGTGACGTGTTAATCATACACTATGAGCTATTCTTCTCCAAGAGACTCGGCAATAAACACACATGGAGCTGCAGGGTGAAGCTGGCCTGTGGCTTGCCCTGAGAGGAACAAGGAGAGGAAGATGCTGGTGAGGAACAGGAATAACGACCAATACAGGCCACAGAGAACAGGATTGCAGAGCAGTTAGGAGATCTCGGGACTGGGGTCCCAAGGCTCAGACAGCCCAGCTGCACCAGGGCTCCTGGGAGCACCAAGACAAGGTCTTGGAGCAGAACCCTAGACTTGCAGACAGACATCACATATTTTACATGCTGGTAAGAATGAGGCAAGCCAGACGCATCATGACTTGGGGGCCAAATTCTAGAAAAGGAGTTTACCAGCTCATCCTAACAAACACCTAAACCTGGACAACCAAGCTGCACACACATCCCAGAGGCATCAGGACTCACATTTGCACAACTTCCACTACCAAAGCACCAAGATGACACTCTCCTTTAAGCAAAGGATCCAAAACTTCTCAATACCATGTAGATTAAAGATCAAACATTTAGAAGAATCAGACCACTGACAGTTACTCACCTTTAATAAACTAAAACCATCTCTCTTCACTTTTGAAAGGCGAAACTGGACCACTTTTAGATTAGCAGTAACTAGAAGGCAGGCAGAATGTGAAAACACAACACTGGACAGTTTACCTGAGTTGCGAGTGCCCCTCTGGCCCCATTTGTGGTGCGGCTGCATGGCGTGCTTCTGCTGAGATCCCTTGCTCCCAGGGGCCTGCCGTCCTGGGCAGCTACCGGACCCTCCTCCGGGACAGGCGCATCGACAGCCGAGCCCTTCCTCTTCGACGTCTTTTTCTTCGAATGCGTACAGTCACTTTTTGTTTTCCTCTGTCGGAAGTGAGCAAGCTGCGCAGAAAGGTGGAGAAGTAGTAAAGGCAGAGGTAAGTGAGAAAGAAGTAACAGACCCACAAGGTCAGCAGACCGGCAGGGAGCATGCAGCTCCGACAGAGTGGGCCCACTCGGCCACGCCTGGCCACCGGACCACTATCCTAACCCTTCATTAACAACTATGAGGCCACCATTGAGTTCTGAGTGACATACAGCCTACAGATGAGGACTGTTAGTTAGGCCTAGTTACAGACAAAAAAAAAAAAAAGATATGATTGACAGGCACAATAGCTTTTCTAACCCTTGGCAGTTTTGAGAAAAAAAAATTTTAAATACATCAATTTAAAATGCTGAGAGCTTAATCAAGATATATTTAAGGCTCAAAATTATTTAAAAGCTAAACCATTCCATTCTTGCCCCCATTCTCTCTCAATCAATGAAATATACCACCCAGCCAAAATTTCCTAGCCATAGATTCTAAGACATGATACAGAAATAGCAAAAAATTAATTAAGTGAGGTCAATCTAACGTCTCCCTTTACAGAACCTGATGTTCTAATTTTCCTGACACAGCTCTCCAAAGCACCAGGGACCGCCACAGAGTGCTCCCAACAGTAGACAGCCCAGCCCTGTTCAGGTTTAGACCTGAGAGTTTCAACCATATTCATGCACCAGCTCGCACACACACCTCATTCAAAAGGAATGGGTCCAAGAGGGGTCCTCTGCTCCCTCAAATGACATCTGGGCTGTACAAGCAAACACGCTTAACATTTATATAAATGATAACCAAAGTACACAATTTTGTTGGCATAAGATCATTTAAAGGGGGAAAGAAAGCTGCCTTCATATCCTTGTATTCTCATCTATTTCATCGCCCTCCACTATCTGGGACAGAGCTCGCATAGGCAGCACTGAACCTCTGGCCTGGTCCTTCCGAGGCTCCCTCTCCCTCAAGCACTTCCACTGCAGTTTACCAACCACACAAGCTGGGCCCTAGTCAGTTCCAGTGCTGCGCTCTGGACTCGCTCAGCGCGGGACCTGGGTACGTGCACGCACGTGTAGAGGGAGGGAAAAGTCACCAGCCCCTGCTCTGACCAGCCAGAAGCCTGTCACAGGTGGCTGAATGAGGCCGCTGTGTCCCCTGCCTGTCACCCAGCCAACGGAGACTGCTGTCCTGTCTTGGCCACACCTGCCTGCCAGTGTATTCTGGATGTTTCTGTAGCACAGGGACTCCATGGAAAACGGGGGCGGAGATGGCACAGCAAGGTCGTGGTGCTCCACCCAGCCCCGGGCTGCCATGCAGCGCGGGAAACCTCCGGGTCCCACAGCCGGGGAGGCTGCCGCGTCTGCCTGCGGGGCCTGAGTCATCCTTCGCCTGTCCTACTCCCCCAGAGGCCCCATACAGGTCCAAACGGAGCACTTTTCCGTTTGACAGAAGAACTGGGGCAGGAGGAGGTGACAAGCACTCGACTCTGAGAACCTGAGGCCCCTCAGCACCGGGGACCACCGGGGACTTTCGTAGACTCAAGGACAGCACGTTTACAGGACAGGGACACTGTGAATGCTGTTTAAAACGACGGGCGCGCAGAGAAGCCTTAGGGCAGCTAACGGGGTGCAGCGCCTCAGAGCGCTAGACACACCAGTACCAGGGACCTCGCCACTCGGGGGACGCAGGGGCGTGGCCGGCGTGCGCACCGAGCCAAGGTGCAGGCGCCGCGCCGCCCCGGCGTGACCCGCGCCACCCCGGCGTGACCCGCGCCACCCCGGCGTGACCCGCGCCACCCCGGCGTGACCCGCGCCACCCCGGCGTGACCCGCGCCACCCCGGCGTGACCCGCGCCACCCCGGCGTGACCCGCGCCACCCCGGCGTGACCCGCGCCACCCCGGCGTGACCCGCGCCACCCCGGCGTGACCCGCGCCACCCCGGCGTGACCCGCGCCACCCCGGCGTGACCCGCGCCACCCCGGCGTGACCCGCCCACGAGGCATTGCGCGTCCTGGCCGCTGATAGGCTGCGGCCGCAGAGTGGGCGGGTCTGGGCCAGGGCGGCCGATTCAAGATGGCGGCGGCCAGAACGGGGTTGGAACAAAGTCGACGAGAAGGGAAGGGCATCAGCATGGCCACCACCCGACCGCGTCTGCACCTGGCAAGTGGCGGTGGCTGGCACCAGAGCCACCTGGGCAATTCTCGTGGCAGCTCGGGGAAGATGAGGGCGCCGCCGTTTACCTTCGCTCTCCCGGCTTCCACCTTCTTGCGCCGCTGCTCTTGCTCATCTTCGTCCATCTCTCTCGGGCTCCTCGCGGGTCGCCCAGAGGTGGCGGGGCCGCCGCCACGCCGCCCTCGCTCTATTTACACTCCCTCCCCCTGGCTCGACTCGCCCTCTCCCCCCGACAACTGTCAGTGCCGTGGCCCCGCCCCGCTGATCAGCGCCGCCAATCACGGGCCGCGTGCCATATCGCGCATGCGTGCTCTGGCAGAGCGGCTTCGTAGAGATCCGCCCCTCCGGCATTCGATTAGCGCGCTAGTGCGCTCGCCTCCTCCGGCAGGACCAATGAGCGGAGCGCGGGGCTCCTGGTATTCGCAGTGGTTGGTCCGCTGTCAGCGAGGGTTCGCGCCTCTGTTCCCGCGCGGCCGCGTCGGCCCCGAGAGTTCCGCCCGTTGCTGCCCAGGCTTCCGCGCGGTCGTGGGTCGCCCCACTTTGCATCTTCTCCGTCCGCCAGTCGGTGCGGGTCGCGGGTGTCTGTCCGCGGAACCTCCCGGCTTGCAGAGTCAGTGCCTGGGGACGGGGGCAGGAGGATGGCTGCAGCCACTGCGCTAGCCTCCGGGCTCCCTCGACCGCACTAGTCTTCGACCCGGGGAACAGGGCCCCGACCCTCTTGCTCTTCTAGGCAAGTTCTGAGTCTGCGCACCCCACAAGTTGCAGGCCACCTGCCGGGCCCTTGGATTCCATCCTATACCCCAGACTCTCATGTGACCTTTTCTGCACCTGCCAAGATGTCTTCTTGCGCGCTGAACCAAAGGCCAAGAGCCCAAGGCCAGAAGCAGCCAGAATTACCAGTTCAGTGAGGCCTAAAACCAGGACAGCGACCCTACTCAAAAAGAGTTGCAGGGACAGGAAGCCACTGAGGGCCTCCGAACCGTGCCCCTTTTCTCCCCAGGCACGTGTGACCAGCCAGCAGCTCCTGGATGGCTCCACATACTAGAATATGTGAGCCGCCGACCTGCCGTGAAGGTGCTGTTAAGTGATAGAGTAATAGCGCCCAGTGCTAAGTGGCCAGAGGGAAGGTGGAGTTTAGGGGTCCAACAGCCTCTCCTGAGAGGAACACAAAGATTGAAATCTTACTGATAGGTGGCAGGCAGACATGTGCGGTGGGAACAGAAGGCTAAGGGGATAATTCTGTAGACTGGGCCTCTCTTGCTGACCCCCACCTGCTTTCCTTTAAAAAACAATTTGCCTGAGACCACTGTGGCCCTACCTGGCTTAATCGATAGGATATGCTACATTGCTCAACGAACAGCCTGTTATCCGCAAGAGAAACCATCCCGAAAGGCTCCTCCATGCTGAGAAGAACACAAGTTCTTGGGGGACTTATGTGGCCTTTATATTAACCACAGATTCCAGAATCCAGGGGAACAGGATAATTAAAAACAAACTTCCCAAACATAAATCTATAACAAATGGTTCCAATTAGAACTGGCCAGTGAGGGCCCAGGTGAACCAGAGATGCCTTCGATTTTAGTATGTTATAGTAGTAAAATCTCTTCTCCCTGGTTAGACCATGTACAGTAGGGATGTGGGAGTCTGGTGTCATCCTACTGTCAGTCAAATTGAAGAGGTTAACCTGGGTGGAACTTAGAAACTCCCCCCAAAAAAAACGGGGACAGGAGAGAGCATCAGTCCCTCTCCTCTCTGAGAGGACCCACTCTACCTTGAAAATGTCCCCTTTCGCCTTTGCTTCTAATAAACTCATGCCTGCTACCATGTGCAGCCTGTTTGGAATTCTTCAGAGCTTTTGTTCACAGTCCTGGTTGCTTCAGATCTTGGGTGGATCTTACTTAGTAATATTTCCACACACATTGTAAATGGTTTTTCTTAAAATATTTTTAGTTTTAGATGGATGTAATATCTTTATTTACTTATTCATTTTTGTGTGGTGCTGAGGATCAAACAGTGCCTGGTATGTGAGGGGCAAGTACTCCACCACTGAGCTATAACCCCAGCCCCAAAGTGGTTTTTTTTTTTAAAAACGACACGGTCGAGCATCCCTGAGTTCAATCCTGGGTACCCAAAAAAATAAAAGACTGTGATATACTTTCACCTCAATCTTTCTGTGAATCTAAAATTGCTCTAAAAAATGAACTATTGATTTTTTTGAAGTAATGTGGCTTGGTTATAAATTCATCATCTGGGGCTGGGGATGTGGCTCAAGCGGTAGCGCGCTCGCCTGGCATGCGTGCGGCCCGGGTTCGATCCTCAGCACCACATACAAACAAAGATGTTGTGTCCGCCGAGAACTAAAAAATAAATATTAAAAATTCTCTCTCTCTCTCTCTCTCTCTCTCTCTCTCTCTCCCTCTCTCCTTTAAAAAAAAAAATAAATAAATAAATAAATAAATAAATAAATAAATTCATCATCTGTGTGGGAGTCTGAAATTTTATGAAATCATTGCTCTTAGCTTCAGGCCTCACTGGGACCCATGTGTCCACAGGTGGTGACGTCAGGCTTTTCCCCACAGCCACAGTTCTGACAAGCAGGGAGATGCTCTGGTGTGGTCAGCTCAGGGGAAGCTGTACTGCTTTCTCCCAGCTGTTCTCTGTGCACATGTCAGTTGCCACTGGAGATGGCCAGGCTGGACCCACCTACAGCTATGGGCACCAGACTCAGTGATGCTTATGCCATTTAGTATTAAAAGGAGGCAAGTCCCCTCAGAGCCTGTCCAGAAAGACATGCCCTCTGAAAGGATGGAATGGGGTCAGGGATGCACTGCACACTTTGCCTGTTGATATCCTCCACGTGAGACACCTGTGCCTGGGCCAGGTGAGTCTGTTGGGATGGACCAGCTCTCCAAATGACTGCAACCATAAGACCTGGTGCAGGCCCCACCCTTCTGAAATATTCCTTCATATAAACCCCATTGTCTAATTGCATTCAACACAGCACCATCTGTCCTTGGTGACAGGACAGTGTGTTTCTTTATTCAGTTCCTCTATTCCCATGACCTCACTTGGATACGTTTGGTGAGGAGGGCCAGGTGCTGTTTGCTCCCTCTCAGATGACAAACTAACAATGAAACTGTCTCCTACCCTTTATGCACTGGGAGACGCCACCTTGCTGACAAGCTTGGCCTTCAGTCTCAGCAGGTCCTGCAGCTCCAAGGGACCACAGTGTAAACAAACCTTCGGGAATCCCTGGAAACCCAGCAACGAGAAGCATTCCCCCAGTCAGATCACAGCTCTCCAGTAGCAAGCGGAGTCTCCAGGTTCCCAGATGTGGAATTGGACTGTTTGCACAAACACTGGGTGAAGTGGGTTTGTTAGGAAGGGGGCTAGAAAGACTGCAGGATCAGACTTTGTAAGAACATACAGGAACCCATATTTGTCCTGAATCTGTCCATGTGTTTCAGTATCTAAAGCACTGGGGACACACCTGTAGTACCAGCATTCTGGAGGCTGAGGAAGGAAGATTGCTTGAGCCTGGACCAGCGTTCTGCAGTGGCTCAGACCTGGGAAACATTCAGCATCCTGGCAGGTGAAGGAAGATGTGAGGGCAGTTGGGATAGCAGACATGCTTTATTAGAAGGCAGCAACCCTTTGGGCCTTTCCTTAGGCCTTTTTTATGTTCAGGCTAAACAAAGAAGGCCCAGTATCAACAGGTATAGAAATGGGCACATGCTAACAAGCAGATATTTATGACTTTGAGTGTCTGAATCAGGGTATTCATGGCCTTGACTACATGCTAAAATGTAGCTAACAGGGAGTCTCTGCAAGGGATCCTAGATGTAGCCATCTTAGGCCTGCCTTACAACGAGATAGCAAGACCAACTGTATAAAGTAAATAAACAAGTAAACTTTCGAAACCTGCATAACAACCCATACCTACAGGAAGATGCTGTGGATGTCACAGGGATTAACTCCTAGCTACTCTGAGCTACTTGACTGTATTACCTAGTCTTGTGTACACTCAGACCATCCATTTGAATGTCTCCTAACGCTCCCAGCATCAGGAATGCTGTGGACATGCACTGGCATCTCAACCGTGGGCCCAGGTCTGCTGGTACCAGGGGTGTCAGAGAGAACCCCAAGACATCACCCTATGGGGTGCAAGGCAGGTGGTACCCCCAGGAGGGTGAGGTCCTACCCCTCTACAGCAAAGATGTATCGGGGTAGACACAGGTGTCAAGCCTGTAGCTCCAGGGCCAGCAGGTTACAGCTGCACCAGCAGATACCATCACAGGAGCTGCTTTGGGGGCTTGATTTGATGAGATGGCCACCTCTGCCCTAAGTCCTCCCATGTCCAGCAGAGGTTCTCAAAGGGATGCCAATCAGAACAGGTCATGCTACCTATAAACCCATGAATGCAAATTAAGAGGCTCTGAGGCAATGTCAGGGATCTGATGCAGTTTCTGAGGTGGGTAATGTTGCAGGGATACTGGCCCTGCCCAGGGCACTCCTCAAGTCCACGGGGCTGACCCAGCTGCTCCCATTGCCTGATTTCACACCTGTGTTTTACTCTCACTTCAAGCCAGCTCATCTGTCAGTCTGGAGGTTGGAGCTCCTGGTTCATGGCCTCCTTACCTGCCACATGCAAACCACCCTCCACCCATGCTTGGCCCCTTCCTGGGCTAGGTCACTACAGAGCTTTCCCCACCCACAGGGATGGCCCCCGGCTGTGCCACGTGATGACCACTTGCTTGTGTGTGGGGGGTGCTTCCCAGCACAAGCCCCTCCTGTCCTGCCCCTTCTACAGCCCAGAGATTCCTGAAGTCCTCAGGTGGGCCCCCAGCCACTGTCCTGCAGGAGTCCAGCTGGGCTGACTTCTTACTCTGAGGGTCTGTGGAGGGGTGCACTGTATGCCCCAGGGGGCCATAGAAAGGAAGGGGTGACCTCCCTCCTCTGCTCCTCCAGGCTGTCTGGGGGAGGGGATGCTAGAAGGGGGTTTAGAATTCCGTCTCTCTGGTCCCAGGGCTGCCCCTTTGTCTTCCCAGTAAGCCCTGCCTGCCACCCCTGCCCATCTGTGTTCACAGGTGACTCTGTTTGGGAATACAAAACCCGGGAAGGAAACCTGGCAACAAGGGCCTCTCTGTCCTGCAAGCCTGGCAACTGCCACACCACCCCAGGGCTGGCTCCGGACACAGCAGTCCAGGGGCGTGGGGTCGTTCTGCATGTTCTCCTCTCATCCTGAAGCCAGCCTCCAGGAGGTGGACAAGCCCACTTCAGGGAAGCCCTGCCACCATGCCAGGTGGCCCTGCTGCAGATATCTGAGGACCAGCTACAGAGTGTGGGCCGCGGCCTCCTGCCCTCCACAGTCACCTCACTCGTCCCCATGATGCTGGACTCATCAGTGGCAGACCAGATCACCCGCCTGACACTGAGTCTCTTGGAGCAGGTAGGACTGAGCCAGGCCACTGCTGCACTGACCCCAGAGGAGGCAGTCCAGCATTGGGCTAAACAACAGAAGACAAGACGCTGCTCCCAGAGTCTCTGCCTCTGCCTTCTATCTGGGCACATTCCTGCTTTCAAAGCAAACCCTTCCCATGGGTTTTGAGCCTCATGAATCTATTTCTTGACTTCTTAGCACAGAGGCAGAACCATGTAGTTCTCCAGTAAGGAGACCAGCACCTACCAACAGAGCGCCCCCAGGGAAGGGCCCGTTTTGAGACCATGGCTGGCTGGTGCCCCCAGACATAAGACCTCAGCACTGAGCCTGTCGAGCCCCATCTTCTTCCCTTCTAATCCCTCTCCAGGTCACTGAGCACTGGCCCACAGGGACCTTTGTGCCCAGGGTGGCCCCTCCGTGCCTTCTGCCTGCTTTGCTCCTCACCTGTGCCTCCCTCTCACCAATTCTGCATCCTCAGTGCAGGGTCCTGGAGGTGGCAATCAGGGTAGTCACTGGCCAGGCCACAGGGGTCTCACCAGGACAGTCTCTACAAGGCCCACTCCTCAGAAGTGTGCCTGAAGAACCCATCAGAGGGTTCCCCTGGGATTGCTGATTTTCTGGGGGGTGGTTACCGGGTATTGAACTCAGGGGCACTCGACCACTGAGCCACATCCCCAGCCCTATTTTGTATTTTATTTAGAGACAGGGTCTCTCAGAGTTGTTTATTGCCTCGCTTTTGCTGAGGCTGGCTTTGAACTCTTGATCCTCCTGTCTCAGCCTCTGGAGCCTCTGGGATTATAGGTGTGCACCACGACACCCAGCATCCCCCTGGTTTTAATGAGGAGTAGTTGCATTGACTTGAATGCATGACCAGCATGGCCCCTGTCCACCCACTTCACCCTCTTCCGGCCCCCAACACCTCCGTCTGGGTGATGGGCACCCCCAGAACTCACGGGTGGCTCCCAGGCAAGCCCGCTAACCAACCTGGGGCCAACATCACCACCAGCCTCTGTTCCTCACAGAAGCTGGAGCAAGAGCGAGAGAACATGGAAGGGGACTCAGAAGGCTCTTTCTTGGTGCCAGGTAAGAGCCCTGGGCTGCTCCCAGCTACCCAGACTAGCACAGGAGCAGACGGGGGAGGGCAATAGGGGCAGCACCCAGAAGCCACCCTTTTCTTTAGTACTCTCACTTCACACCAGAGTTGAAAGGACTCTGCTTTCCCCTATAACACAGCATCCTCCACCTTTGGCCTGCAGGTCCCAGGCGGTACGTGCATGTTCCCATCCTGTCGATGGGTTGGGAAGCCTGCCCAGATGGCTCAGCTCTGAGGTGTCCCACAGGCCAGACCCTCATTGCTCTGATCCCAGACTCCTGAAATTGTCCAAGATGGGGGTGTCCTCACTGGACAGAATCCAGGTTGAAGGACACCTGAGGGAGGGGCTGAGGAGGAGTGGGTCTTGTTCTTTGGAACATGGAATAAACAGCCATGCTGTGGGCTCCGGGACCCAGAGGGCGGCTGGCCGAACCTGAGGCCAAGGCCAGATGGAACGTTGCAGACCCTGCCATGTGACCAGGTCCTGCACAACAGAGCCTCTGCTAGTATGCCAGAGTGTGTGGGGGTATCCTCAGCAGCCTGGCACCAGCAAGACACTGGGGTGACTGGACTCCTCCATAGCCATTTCTGGGGAGCAGGCTTCTCCTCCATACTTGGGTGAACAGCCCAGTCCTCTCCAGACAGCTTGGGTTTGGTGGCACAGGTGGTGGAAAATAGGCTTTTGAGGTTTTTACCCAGCCCCGTAGAAGGCCTGCCTTCCTCAGCCCACAGGCCTGCAGGGACCCAGAGGGGCCTGCCCTGCGTCACGCCTGCTCCTTTCCAGACCCTAGCTTGAAGACTGAGTTCCCCACCCCTCCCCACCACTGGTCATGGTCCCTCCCTCCATAGGATGAATGCTCATGGAGGCCAGGGGCCGGGGACCCAGGATGTGGGGAGGTTATGGCATTCTGACAGGGTCTGCAGTGATGTGCCTGACAGCCTGGGCCACCAGCCATGAAGCTTTCCTCAATAAGCAAGGGTGTGTCTCCCTCCAGGAAAGGAGGCCAGGCCAGATGAGGCCCTGCCCCGTGCTCTGAGGAGGAGGAAGGACCTTCTACAGAGACTCTGGGTAAGCCTGTGCACCTTCCCCATGGTCCACGGCAGAGGAGCTGGCTTCCACACACAGACCCAGCATGTCGGAGAGGCCCTTCCGGACTCAGGCTGGTTTCCCGGTGGTTTTAAACTGTAGGTGGGAAACTGAACTATGAGCCCTGAGGTGACTTCCCTGAGAAGGTGTGAGCTGCAGGCCCCTGTTGTTCTCGACGGCTGGGCTGCACACATGGAAGGAGACAGTCTTGAGTCAGGGCCCAACCCCCACAGGAAGGGGAATGTGAGATGCCCAGGGGCCCCATCCATGCTACACTGGCTGGCAGCAAGCACTGGCCATGCCAGGGGTGTGCCTGCGGCAGTGTGACCCTGCACGCCCTGGGCAGGAGGTGGGGCTGCCAGCCTGTGAGGCAGACACTGGCGCTGCCTGAAGAGCACCCAGCCCTGCCGGCTGGGAAAGGACAGACGGAAGCTTACTGCAAATGTGACAGACTTCAGAGGAAGCAGACTCCACGGGGATGTGCCACACCCACACCAGCCTTTGGCTTCACTTTTCTGCCAGCTCCAGTTCTGGGGCCTCCAACCTGAGCTGAGGGCCTAAGCAGCTGCAGGCTCCACGTGCCCAGGGAAGGTGGGGGACAGGGAAGGCCGTGGTGGTGACAGTCCCATGCACCCCGTGTCCACATTGGTCCAAAGCTCCTCCTGTGGCCCATTCTGGGCACAGTAGGCTCTGCTGGTCTTTCAGGAACAGCAGCTTCTAGATGAGCACCCCCAGCCCCGCTGCTGGAGGGGGCCACCCGGAGGAGCCCACAGGTCAGCCCTGTACCCAGAAGTGCCTCCCGTGGGCATCTACCAGGCCGCGTCTCCACCCCTGCAGGCCCCTGAGCCTCTGAGGATCATCCAGCACCCGGTAAGGGGGTGAGGGGAAAAGGCAACTCTGGTGGGGGAAGCAGGGGTGGGGGACATCTGGCAGCTGGGACAGGAGCAGCCACCCCAGGGTTGCCTCATCCACAGAGCCAGGGCTAGCCGACGGTGGCTGCACAGCAGGTTCACCTTGTAAATGTGGCACCAGGGACACCCTGCCACTGAGCTACATCCCTAGCCCTTTTTTGTTGTTGTTTTATTTTACTTTTAGACAAGGTCTGGCTAAGTTTCCCAGGCTGGCCTTGAATTGGTGATCCCCCGCCTCGGCCTTACAAGTAGCTGGGATCACAACTGTGTGCCACCGTGTGCCTTGTTTTTTTCGGTTTTTGTTTTGTTTTGTTTTGTTTTTCCCAGACTGGGGATCAAACCAAGGCCTTTTTCACATGCTAGGCAAGTTTCCCACCACTGAACTACACTCCTAGCTCCAGTTTTATTTATTTTCTTAATGTTTATGAAAAAATAAAAGAGTAATGCTTTGTAACACATCAAAATGATAAGAAATGCACATTTCAGTGTTCGTGAGTTGTAGGGGCCGGCTCTGGTCAGCTCTGTCTGTGGTTGCTCTCAAGGTCCCATGGCAGAGTGAGCACTAGCAACTGAACCCATGTGGTCCACGAGCCCAACAAGGTACTGCCTGGCCCACTGTGGGAAAAGCTTGCCAGTCCTTGGGCTGAACCACACTTCCTGAAAGTGGAGGAAGAGGGACGAGGTCATGCTGGGTTTTCTGGAAAAGGTTGAAACAGGTGTTTCTGGTGTTCACTAAAAAATGCCGTACATTTATTTTCACTCAGAAGAGAAACCAGAGGTTATCTGCACAAGTTCCACACATGTCTACAGTATATGATAGAGCTAGAGTAACTGGCCAAGTTGGTATCCATGCCACGATAGGCAGGGCGCCAGGACAGGAGGTGAACACCTATTGGACGAGCAGCCACTCAACACCCAGGTCTGCCCAAGAATCCCAACACCTCAGTCATGAGGTGAATGCAAAGTAAAACCACAGTGAACTACCTCTGTGCCCCATTAAAATAGCTGAAGTTGAAAAGACTGACCATGCCAAGTGTCAGATGCATCTATTAAAGCAGAATTAATGAAACCAGGCATTAGCTCACCCTGCTCATGACAAGTAATGTGGGAATCATCCAAAGCATACATTCTGCCAGGTGTGGTGGACAAGCACCTATTAATCCCAGCAATGTGCAAGGCTGAGGCAGGGGATTGCAAATTTAACACCAGCCTGGGTAACTTAGAGAGGGCCTCAGCAACTTAGTGAGGCCATTATATATATGAAAAAAAGGGGCGCTGGAGGTGTAGCTCAGTGGTAAAGTACCCCTGGGTTCTATTTCCAGTACCACAAAAGAAGAAAATATCAAAAACTTACATCCTAAGTATACCCAGACTCATTCACTCAAATACAATGGATGGATAAATGGGTGGATGGAAGAGTGGATGGGTAGATAGATGGATTCGTGGGTGGAAGAATGGATGAATGGATGGGTGGAGGAGTGGAAGGATGGATGAGTAGATGGAGATGAGGGGACGGGTGAAGGAATGGGTGGATACTGTAGGACACTGCCTCCAAGGAGGAATTCAGGTGGCGAATCACCTTCTTAGGTTCCCCAGCCTCCTGCCACCATCATTCAGCAGCTCCCTCAGCAGCCACTCATCACACAGATCCCTGCTCCTCAGGCCTTTCCCACTCAAAGGTCAGGAAGCATTAAAGAAGGTGAGTGATGTGTGTTAATATTGCTATGGGTTTATGGAATTGTCTACTGAAAGAGAAAACATTTGTGCAACCAGGACAGTCATTTAGAGTCAGCTTCTGGCTACTGAACATGAAAATAATTTTAACTTTAAGAAATCCATTATAGAATATGTGCTTAGCATATACAAAGCCCTGGGTTCAATCCCCAGCACTATAAAAAAAAAAGAAGGAAAAAAACAAAGAGATCCTTCTGTAAAGGATATCTCTGAGCTCCGAGGAAGAAAACTAAAAGCATAAGACAGGGCAGTGGACTAGGAATTGGAACAGAGTGCCAACCCCAACTCTCCCTTGTTAGCTGCATATAAGGCCTGGTCAAGCTGCTTCTTTTTTTTTTTTTTTTTTTTTTTTTTTTTTTAAAGAGAGAGTGAGAGAGATAGAGGTAGAGAGAGAGAGAGAGAATTTTTTAATATTTATTTTTTAGTATTTGGCGGACACAACATCTTTGTTTGTATGTGGTGCTGAGGATCGAACCCGGGCCGCACGCATGCCAGGCAAGCGCGCTACCGCTTGAGCCACATCCCCAGCCCTCAAGCTGCTTCTTGTAAAGTAACCTAAATACTTGATATTCAAAACAACCTTATTGGGGTGACAAAGAATAAGTTGCACCTTTTTTAAAATTTAAATTGTTTTTTTTTCTTTTTATTGGTGCAGAGATGGAACCAGGGTCTCAGGCACATGCTCTGCTGCGGAGCTCACCACCAGCCCCTCCTTGAAACTGACAGGCAGTGTTCCCTGGTCCTGACAGGCCAGTTAGTTACGTGTTCACATGGCGATGGGCACGTGGGTTGTTTCCTGGTTCCAGCTATTGTGGGCATTCACGGGCCGGCCTCTCTGTAATTGTGGGTCTTCATTTCTCTAGGGTAAATACCTAGGTGTGAGACATCTGACTCATGCAATAGGGTTATGTTTAACTTCTTAAGAAACTGCCAAACTGTTTCCATAGTGCCTGAACAACTCCACATTCCCATTAGCAATGTTTGAAAGTTGTAGTTCCTCCTCAGCCTCCCCAACCCTTGGTGTGATCTTTTTTTTTTTTTTTTTTTTTGAGATGGGGTTTTGCTGTGGGCCCAGGCTGACCTTGAACTCTTAAACTCAGGTGATCCTTTTGCCTCAGCTTCTTGAGTACCTGAAACTATAGGCACACACCCCAACAGCTGGTGTGGTCAGTCTTTTCAACTTTAGCTATTTTAATGGGGCACAGTGGTAGTTCACTGTGGCTTTCCTTTGCATTGACCCCCTCATGACTGAGGTGTTGGGATTCTTGGGCAGACCTGGGTGTTGAGTGGCTGCTCGTCCAATAGGTGTTCACCTCCTGTCCTGGCGCCCTGCCTATCCTGGCATGGATACCAACCTGGCCAGTTACTCTAGCTCTGTCCTACACTGCAGCATTGCCAGGCTTGATCCTAAGTTGCCCCATAGCCCACCTCCAGGGTGCCCTTCATGCTGAGACCCACGTGACAATGCCGGGTGTGGTAGGGCACAGCTGGGTGTCCACAGAGCAGCCCTGTTTCCCATGATGACTTTTTTTTCTCCAGATGAACTTTAATGATAGTATGTCAGGTTTCAAAAACCAAGAAAACAGTGTGTGTATGTGCTTGGAGGTGCGAATACTTCTGTGCCACAAGATAAAGTGTGCCATTCACAGTCAGTGATAAAAAAAATTTAATAAGTAGCTATTTAGAGAATGTAAAGTTAGTTACTTTACCCCACTCCTTATGCCAAAACCAATTCCAACTCAATGAAATATTTGAATATAAAAATGCAAAATCTCAGGCTGGGGTTGTGGCTCAGTGGTAGAGCACTTGTCTAGCATGCATGAGGCACTGGGTTCGATCTGCAGCACTACAAAAAAATACTAAATAAACAAAATCTTGAAAGTACTTGTACTATTTAAGTTATATTTAAAAAAAATAAACTCACAAAAACAGATGCTAGTGTGATTGGCTTCACCCAGAAAGCACCCGTCTGGCTCCCCTGTGCTGTTGGACCCTTCTGCACCATCACGGGTGTTGTGTCTCCCACTGCCAGGAGACAAGTTCACTGCCCTGGTTGCTCGCTTTCCTTCCAGTGGCTTTATTCCATCACTTCTTTTTTTCTCTACCAAGAATTGAACCCAGGGGTACTTAACCACTGAGCCACACCCCCAGCCCTTTTTTATTTTGACTTTTTGTGTGTGTGTGTGTGTGTGTGTGGTGCTGGGGATTGAACCCATGGCCTTGTGCATATGAGGCAAGCACTCTACCAACTGAGCTATATCCCCAGCCCCATTATTTTTTGTTTTGAGACGGGGTCTTGCTAAGTTGCTGAAACTGCCTTTGAACTTTCGATCTTCCTGCTTTAGCCTCCTGAGCTACTGGGAGTACAGGTGTGTGCTATTGCACTTGGCTAAAAATTGTTTTTAAAACTATGGTAAAAACATGTAAGATTAATGCGGATCAGTAGCGTGCAACTCCACTCCTGCACTGCAGTGTCCCTGCCTTGAGCCCAGCCCTGCCTACTGTGTCTGTGAGTTACACTGCTCTAGAGGGATCCTCTCAGTGGAGCCACACAGTGCTCGTCCCTTCGAAACTAGCTTCTTTGGCTAAGGATAATGTCCTCAAGTCTCATCCATGTTGTAGCCAGTGACAGGCTGGATTTCACTGTGTGACGACCACGTTTTCTTTACCCATTCATCCTCATGGATGAACATTTGGGTTGCTTCCAAGTTGTCTCAGATTCTTAACAAGCCCATCTGCAAAGCTTGTTATTGTTGTTTTTTGTTTGTTTGTTTGTTTTGCTGTGTAATAAAACACATTTGCAAGCTTTGGGGATGAGGATGTGGGCCTGTCACCCACACTTTTACATCATTTTCTTTTCTCTGTGTTGTGAAGCCAGTGACACTGTCCTTTCCAGTGGATGTGCGCTGTTTCACACCATTGGTGGTGGACATTCACACTGGACATGCCCATTTCTGGGTGGTGCAGGTCTAGTAACAAGAGGGAAGTGTCAGGAGACCCTGTGGTTGCAGGCCCACCCTCTCCGTGCCATCTTCCACCAGGTACGCTTGCTGTAATGGAGCTGCACTCTCCAGTCTCGTCCTTTGTAGTCAGTGTCTTTCTTGTCTCCACCCAATGGAGGTCATGAAAAATGTTTTGGTTTTCTTGTGTCACTTGGCCTGTTGCTGACGTTAGATTTATGGCCTATCTGGAATAGCTTTTTATGTGTGCTGTGATTTAGGGACCCACCTTATTATTTTGCCAAGGACAACAACTGGACCCTGGGCTATGTACGGACACTTTTGTGTGTCCCCTTTGTTAGAGGCAGGTGACACCAGCCTGGGCCTCTCACTGGACCCTCTTCAGGCCCTTGGTATAGTTGTCTGATCTTTATATACTGGATTCCATTGAGGGAACCCTAGGGGGTACCAGGGAAGCCACTCTCCTTGGGCACTTGCTTCTGCTGCTGTTGGGTGGGGGCTGGACCCTCCCCGGGCCTCAGAGGACTTCTTGGAGCCTTTGCTCCATGGGGCTGTTACTCTCCTCTTCTTAGCTGTGTCTTGTAGAGATCAGGGGTCCCTCCCATAGCTGTGTTGCCACAGGGGTCTGGCGCTTTTCCACCTTGCTTCCAGGCCTTTCTGGCCCGTGGCCTGGACAGCCCCAGCTCCTGAGTACTCCTCCTGTCCAAGCCCCACCCCAGCCACTCTAAGCTTGGAGATGTTTGGCTGGGAGACCCTAGGAGGTGTGTCCTTTCAGCAAAGCTGACGAGAAGCTCTAGCACAAGGCATGGACCCTTGCTGTGGGAAGAAACAGTGTTTGCCCAGCACATTGTCAAACGTGAACTTGCTGCCTGGTCCCCTGCTGGTGAGCACGTCAGTTTCCTGTGCTGTGGTAACAAACTACCACGAGTTGGTAATGTAACAGAGAACAATCTTCCCCTCACTGTCTGGAGGCTAGACCTCAAAAACCCAGGTGCAGGTAGGCTGTGCTCCCTCCGCGGGGTTCAGGGAGGGGCCTTCCTGCCCCTTGCCACTCCTGGTGGCTGTAGGCGTTGCTCTGGGGGTCCCTCCAGTGTCTGTGTTCCCAGGTGGCCTCCACCCTATGTCTGGGTCTCCTCCTCTGTCTGCTCTAACCATCCTCTTCTGTTATTGTTATTTTGGTGTACTGGTGATTGCACCCTGGGGGCTACATGCCCCAGCCCCTTATATTTATATTTATTTTGTATTTGTTTGGTACTGTTCCATTTTTTTTTAGTAATGAACCCAGGGGTTCTTTACCACTGAGCTCTGTTCCCCTTTTTTTTTTGGAGACAGGCTCTCCCTAAATTTCTAAGGCTGGCCTTGAACTTGCTTTCCTGCTTTCCTCCTGCCTCAGGATTTCAGGTGTACATCAACACATCCAGCTCCCCTCTCATTATAAAGACACTTTCACTGGATTTAGGGACCACCTGAGTAATCCAGGATGATCTCCTTGATTCAAAATCTTCAAGTAAATCCACTAACACCATTTTTCCAAGAAGGATCACCTTCAGAGGTCTTGGGGAGTAGGACAGGGAGATATACACACACACACACAGTTGGGGTGACCACACAACCACTGGTGGCACTGAGACAAAATACACAGCCCCTCATGAGGCAAGCTAGGTGCCGTCCACAAAACCTTATCCATGCACGTCCTCTGACCAGAAGACCCAGATCAGAACGCACCCAGGGACCTGCCTGGGGCACAGGCACACATGCTGGAATGCTCTCTGGTGCTCAGGAGGCTGTTGTAACAAGTATGAGGCCCTACAGCTATTGTTTCTGAGGCAGAGCCTATCAGCATGCCCCATCTCTGAGTGGCAGAGCACCCGACTCTGGTCTGTTGTTTCAGACATGGTGGAGATGATGTTGATGCAGAATGCGCAGATGCACCAGATCATCATGCAAAACATGCTACTCAAAGCCCTCCCACCTGCAGTAGGGCCTGGGGGACCACACACCCCGCAGCAGGTAGGCTTAGTGGGACAGGTGCCCAGGGGCCACCTGAGTAGACCCCAGGAGAGTGTGTGCCTGTAGTTCTGGAAGGACCTCTGGGTCTGGGTCTGTGGGTTGGTTGTGAAGTTCCACAGCCTCCCTATTCCCACCCCAGGGAGGAATGGGTCCTGCAACTGGGCCCAGAAAGCACCCCTAGCTCTGCTCAGAGCCCGCTCCCCTTCCTGCCCTTGCACTCAATGCACCAGCTGGGAGCAGGTGCAGGAAGAAGGTGTCCAGGGCGGCTGGGTGTGACCCTGATACGGGCCATGTCCCCTGTGCCAGGACCTGCAGTGGGCACGCCAGGTCATCCTGAGAGCCCAGAGGCAGAGGCCAGCCCCAGTGCACCATCACCACCACTATGCGGCCCCAGTCCCGCTGCAGGCTAGCCCCATGCCTGGCACCCCTGTTGGTTATTCCACGTGTCCTCCAGTGGTCACGGCCACAGCCCTCCCAGCGGCCAACAGCTTCCTGCCTACCATGCGCCATGTGGCTGGCCCCACGTAAGTCTGGAGGGTAAGAGTAGAAGGACCCATAGGGTTTGGGTTGCCTCTCTGCACTCCTTAGCACCTAATGGACACCCATGCTCAGGCCTGCAGACTGTGGCAGTGGTTTGAAAGGAAGCTGGAAACACCCTGCCATATGCCAGAAAATAGTAGGCCTCAGTCCTAAGTCGCCAGGCCATATGGACCCCCTTTGGGGAGGTAACTGTGGCTGGGGTCTTTGTCCAGCCTAGCAGGACTGGGATTACTCCCGCTGGGTGGGTTCTGGCACATTTCTCACATGTGACTCCCCCAACCCACAGCAAGTTCCTGTGAGCTAGGCAGGGCAGTGACCACCCAAGGTCACCCTTGTCTTTCCTCTAGGGTGGCAATGGACGGTGAGCTACCCTCACAGGCTCCAGGAATGTGAGCCCCTTGCTCCAGCTTGGTAAGCAGCAAGGTCTTCACCCTCCAGGGCCACTGGAAAAACCAGGTGAATGCCTCACCCAGGTGAAACACAAATTTCGTCCGGAAAGAATTCAAGAAAAACACAGTTCAGGGTTCTCAATAGATAAAGATTAATAGCTTTAGCTACATAAAAATTTAAACATTTCTATGGGGGAGACATAAGAAAGTCAAATTGGAGTGGGGGACGCAGCTCAGTGGTAGAGGGCCTGCCCAGCATGCTTGAGGACTGCGCTTGAGCCCCAGCACCACCTCTCACACTAACATGGTGTGGGAAGGCCTGTTTGTCATTCATGTGAAGCAGTCTCCTCCCGTTCCCTTCAAGTTAAGCCCTATACACGTGCATAGGCTGCAGGCACCACGGATCTGCTCAACGGCTTGCCCATCTCTGCAAATCAAAAGCAAGTGCCTGAAGCTCCTTCTGCAGAGCAGGTGGGGGCGAGGTAGGGGGATAGCTCCTCTAGTCTGTTCCTCTGGGTCCTGTCACTGGTTCTTATGTGTGCATGATACCCGCTCGCTTTACAGAAAGCTGTTTATTACTCTTTTTGGTGGAATTTTGTTCCATTCATGTTTCGATGTTGTTTTTTAAAGTCTTGATTTTAAGTATTCTGCATCAGTGTTCATTCACTTTCTTTTAGGGTAATTTCCTACTCACTAAGCTCTTCACCAGCAGAGTGCCGACATCTGCACCCTCAGGGCCCCTGGTTGGAGCAAGATGAGCAGGGCTGACAGCCACACCCGGGCTTCTCTCCTGGCTGCCCTGGCTCTCACTGCTTCTCAGGACTGTCATCTATTCTACCAGGCACAGCTTCCTGGCAGATGAAAGATCTGACGCCCACGGGAACACACATGTTGACACATTCCCCCCAGCCAGCTTCTGTGGGTGCAGCCCTTTCTCTCAGAGGCACCTCGGCGCTCTTTTGAATGTGACCCCAAAGACTACTCTTGTTAAAAGCACGGACAGAAAGGCCCGACCTGATCTGTTTTCAGGCCAACTTTTCCTTTCCTTTCTCCCCCACCCAGGGCTGACCCCAGGCAAGGCAAATGCTCCAAAACTGAGCCCCATCTCCAACCCTTTTTACTTTGAGACAGGGTCTCCCCAGGTGGTTCAGGCTGGCCTTGCAGTTGCCATCCTCCTGCCTCAGCCTCTCAAATCACTGGGATTGCACACATGGCCACCATGCCTGGCATCATGCTGACCTTTTCTTTTTTCTTAAGATATTTTATTAGTTGTCGATGGACCTTTTGTTTCATTTACTTATTTACATATGGTGCTAAGAATCGAACCCAAGGCCTCACACATGCTAGGCAAGCGCTCTACCACTGAGCCACAACCCCAGCCCCACGCTTTTTCTAATGTCCTTTGTTTTTCTCTCTCAACATAGTTGTTAACTTGATAAAAGGAAGAAATCTGGCCACATTGGTGGTCTCTGGATGGACTGGCCTTACTGAGTTAACAGGGCCGAATGAGCTTCCTGGCTCTGTGAGCTCTGCTGCTGACCCGCCTGCGGGAGCACACTAGGGACAGGAACTCTGCACCTCAGCAGGGAAAGGCTGGAGAGCCCAGAAGATCCCGAGGTGGGCTGGAGCTGCAGGGGCGGCCTGAGGACCTGCAGTGTGGCAGGTGGCGCAGGGCTGCTTACGGCTGGGCCGGCCTGTGGTCTGTGAGGGAGGGGCTCACTGTGCACACCTGTGGCCGGTAAGACAGATGACATTCCTGAGAGGCACTGAAGAGGACCCAAAGGGCATGAAAGACCACCACACAAACTGCAGGAGCCTCTAGGCACCAGCTCAGCACAGACTTCATGCAGCTGTCATCCGAATCCCAGACGCCCCGACACTAGCTGGGCTCAACTTGGGACACAAGGCAGATGAAGGGCCAAGGAGACCAAGTGCTTCCTGGAGTAGACAAGAGGACTGTCCTTCCTGGGTGGCCAGGTTGGGCCACAGCTGTTGACACACCACAGTGGACACTTCTGCATCTACATTAGGAGGACCCTTGATTGTGCTCTCTGTTAGACACAGGGTGGGTTTTAGGGATGTATAAAGGGCTAAGATGTGGCTCAGTGGTAGAGCACTTGCCTGGCATGTGTGGATACTTAAGGCCTTGGGTTTGATCTCCAGCACTAAAATAGATACATAATAGCTTCTACCACACCCATCAGGGCCCCAACCCTCTCAGGGTCCCCCAATTTCTTCAAAAGGACTGTGGACCCAAGTTGTGTGGCTGCTTCTATTGATTTGTGTCATTATACATTAAACTGAGAGCAATCTTAACTATAAGTAGGTCAGGCACAGTCAGCAGTGACTGCAGAACCAGCGCAGGCCAATTCCACATCCAGAGAGCCAGGGGACAATCCAGGCTAAGAAAGGTAGAGTTGAGGGGAAAAACGTTAGAAACACTGGATGCCACAGGAATCAAATGCATGCTCAGAAGTCACTTGGCAAGGCAAAGTTTACTTCTGCAGAAAGGTGTGCTACCAAAGAGAATCTGACAGCAAGCACCCCTGGGTGGGCAGTCGGCCTGCTTTTATCTCTAATGCAGCACTGCCTTGGCTCTGATAGGAGCAGCTCGGGGTTACAATCTTCATGATTAGGTAGCTTTAAAATTGAGTGGGAAAAGTGAAGGGCTTTAGTTGAAATGGCCACAATTGGATCTTACATCCCCATTAAGGCTAAATACTATATTCTGAAAATGGACCACTGAACTTTCTCACAGAAAGGCACTCCGTGCTTCTGGATCATTTAATGGGAGACACAAGGATTAGGATCATAGTATCACCAGGTTTCATGGTTCAAAGCCTTCAAGAGGCTACATGTTACCGCCATGAGATCCATAGTCCTACCTAGCCTATTGAGCCATTTGGCAGAGTAGGAACCTGGGAGGGGCCAGGTTCAAAAACCCTGCCTTTGCAAGCTCTGCAACTCCAGGCTTATTTCAATTTTCAGAGGATAAACAGGAAATACCAACCAAGGGAGATTTCCTGCAGAAGGACGTTGGTGCTTCATCTCCTGGAGGGAACAGAGCAGGCATAGGGCAGGTGTGGTGGTGGGGAGCCATAGCCCACCAGCTTCCTCACCTCCACCCTTGCATGCCATGTGGTCCTCGGCAGCTGAGGTCTTGGGGGAGATGAGAGGGAGGAGCCTCTGTGTCGGTGGCATCCATTCAGGTCAAGTATGGTGCACCTATTGCTGGCAGGCCACCCTTGTCCTAGTCACTCTTCTCAGGGGTAGCAAGGCTCAGGCACAGAGAACCTGAGGGTGAGACTCCAGCACTCTCCAGCATGTGCATCTGCAGGAGCTGTCCCTAGGAAGGAGGAAGCATGGGTGCTCTGGGCGGTGGTGTCCACTCCCAGGCAGGCTGCAGGGGTAGACAAAGCTTTTCCACCAAAGCTCTTCAGTTCTTCAGGGTGGAAGACTGGCAGACCCTAAAGAAGCATATGGGGTTTACCATTCCCTCCCTCCACTGTAAAGGCTTACAACTATTCTGCTTAGTAAGAAAACAATCTGCTGTGTCCTAAACAAAGGGACAGATACTTCTCTGGTAGTTCAAGAAACCAAGTTCCACTCCTAGAATTTAGCCTCAGCATGGGCTGGCGCCTCTGTGGCCCCCAGCACAGCACGACCAGTACAGCGGCAGTCTGGAGCTCCTTGGTTCTAGGTACACCCCTCCAACAAGTCCTGGAACCTGGAGCCTCCGCTGCATCAGAAGAGGCCCCTGCTCAGGGGCTGGAGCCTTGCTCCTGTTCGACGCCTCAACTCCTCCAGCACTTGCTCCTCCTGGCGGTACATCTGGAAGACAGAAACCCTGGCTAGCTGGCCAGCCTCCAGGACCCTCACACCACCTCCCTGACTCTGCCCAGGGGTCACCTTCTGGGGAAGCCCCTCCCTGCAGCCCTTGGTGGGCAAAGACCTAGCAGGCCAGGCCTCACAGCTCCCTCACAGGCCCAAGGGCAGCACCGAGTTCTGTGCTCCTTACTGCAGAACTTGCCAGCAAAGCTAAAGAGCAGCCCTAGAGCAGGGAATGTGAAAGGGGTGGGACAAGGGAGGGAAGAAGTGGGCGCAGGAGGGGTGGTAAGAGGCAGTAGAGGGCCAGGGCAAGGTCTGGTGGTGGCCATGGGGTGGCAGCAGGGAATGTGTGGGAGGCTGGGGGAGGAGCCAGGGTGGACCTAGCCAGCAGATGCTAGGCAAGGGCTCAACCACTGAGCTATACCCCTGCCCAGGGGGACTTTTTATCTTATTTTTTTTTTTCATATATTTTTTAGTTGTAGATGGACACAATGCCTTTTAATTATTTATTTTATGTGGTGCTGAGGATCAGACCCAGGGCCTCACAGGTGCTAGGCAACCTCTCTACCACTAAACCACAACCTCAGCCCAGCTTTTATCTTAACTGGAAAATGTTTTTCAAGTCTTTGATGGTCTGGGGATATAGCTCAGTTGGTAGAGTGCTTGCCTCAAGTCTTTGAAAGGAGACTCTTTGCTTACAAACTTAACCTGAGTCAACTGGTGCTCCGAGCACCACGGAGCTTCATAAATGCGGAGCCCAAACCATGCCCTCAGAGGAAAAAAGCTGTCAATTCACTTTACAGAAGGGCCTCAATCCCTACTAAATGATCTCTAAATGATAAGCTTTCCAGGCGCAGCAGTTACTGGTGCTGAGGTGCATTTAATTTTCAAAACTTTTTTTTTTTTTTAATTCTAATACTGCTAGAAGCATCTGCCCGATTTTTTTATTTTTTTAATAAAGCGCAGTCAAGAGCTGGGTGTGGTGGCATGTGCCTGTAATCCCAGTGGCTCTGTCGGGAGGCTCAAACAGGAGGCTCCTGAAAAGCCAGCCTCAGCAATGACAGGCCCTAGGCAACTCAGTAAAAAAATACAAAATAGGGCTGAGGATGTGACTCAGTGGTCAAGTGCCCCTGAGTTCAATCCCCAGAACCAAAAAAAAAAAAAAAAAAGCAGAGTGGGCTGCCTGAGACCATTGGGTACATGGGTGCATGGGAGTAGCAAGGCCTGGGCCTCGGCCATCTCCTACCTCCTGCCACTCCTCCTCCGAGCTGTGTGTGAAGCCTAGAAGGTGACAGAGTCCATGGGTGGCTGTGACCTGTTGGAATTACATTCTTATTATTTATTTTGAGACAGGTCTTGCTAGGTTGCTTGCCTCCAACTGGCCATCCTCCTGCCTTAGCCTCTAGAGTAGCTGAGATTACAAGTATGTGCCACCATGCCCAGCTCTCTCCTATTTTGAATGGGAACAACCCACCAAATTCATACTAGAAATATGAGTGCTACTGGGAGCTAGGCACAGGGCTGGGGAGGGGCAATCAGGACTCAACTATTCACTTTTGGGAGCAGCAGCATTGATGATGGGACAGGATTAGAGTTTAGCAGCCTGGCTCTGTGGTATCATCTGCAGCTTGGGAGGCTGAGACAGAATGTCATTTGAAACCATGAGTTTGATACCAGCCTGGGCAACATAGTGAGCCAGACCTCAGTTTTAAAAAATAAGTAAACTGGGCATGATGGCCCATGCTTATAATCCCAGTAATTAGGGAGGCTGAAGCAGGAGAATCCCAAGTTCAAGGCCAGTCTGGGTAACTTAGTGAAACCCTGTCTCAAGAGAAAAAATAAAAAGGGCTGGTGGTTTGGCTCAGAAAAAATAGAGTACCCATGGGTTTAATCTCTAGTACTGACAGAAGGGGAAGTAAGTGAATAAGTGAATAAAGAGTTACGGGACAGAAGGAGAGTTATGAGAAAGACGAGTGGGTGGGCGTGGCCTGGCTGACCACCCTGAACTGAGGGCACAGCTTGCATCCCTGGCTCAAACCCGGATGAGAAGCCCTCTGACTGGGGCACACAAGAGTAAAACATAGGTCAGGGGCCTGGAGAAGACCCAAATTTTACTGATTTCTGTGTGCAGAGTTTTGGTGTGATAGCAGGGCAGGGGTTGGGGGTCAGATGTGGGTAGGTCTGGAGAGGGCATCTGGGGCAGAGTGAGGAGATAGGCTTCTGACATGAGACAAAGCCCGGAGCAGGGAAGGGGAAGAGGGAAGATTGTGGCAGGTTAGGAACCCTCTTCTGAGCAGGTGGCAGCATGTGAACCTGGCTGCAACTTGTCTGAGGTCCCACAGGATGGGCTTAGGGATCTGGGGAGGCCAGAGGCTAGCTGGTGTGAAGATCATGACTCCCTCTGGGGTGGGGATGGAGGGAGAGGGTTTAGTCAGAGTGAGATGTCTTGAGGCTGGTGACATGGAGGTAGGAGGGGAGGGCTGAAGGAGGGTGCTGTTGGGACTCAGTCCCTAGCAGAGCTGGCCTAGCCTATGCCTATGAGAACTGGGGTCCTAGGAGTAGTAGACTGGCACTCACTGGGGGGAAATAGGGTACCCCTCAGGGAAGGCTCTGGAGGTGTGGGGTGGGAGACTGGAAGGAGAGGTCCAGGGCCACTGCCTTGGAGGGGCATAGCTGCTGGCCACAAAGTACCGAAGCCTGCATTGGGCCACTTGATGTCACTTTCAGGAAGACAGTGTGCAACCTCCTCCCTGGCACACTGCATCCAGACAGAGTATTCAGGGTCCAGGCTACACCCTTCACAGTGGGCTTCCTGGGAAGTTCTGCTTTCAGTCACTCAGAGGCCCTAGTATGCCCCCAAAATAGCTCAGGTTGTATCTGTTCTGCCAAAGGGAAGCATCTCAGCTCAATCTGTAAGCACATTAAATATGACTCCAGGCACACTCACTTTTCAGAATCCTCTTCTTTGTTTTGTGTCAAACTGAGGGGAGACAAATCTGGAGGGTCCTGGGGCTTGCAACCTCCCTGTTTTGGGAATCTTAATAGAAAGCTGATGCTGCAGGCTGGGTTAGTAAAAGGCAGCCTGTTGTCTCTGGAGATGAAAGCTGAGAAGGCTCCTGGCTGCTCGTCTCTCTCCATGTGTAGGCTCTCCCACAGCAACCATTTGTGCCCACAGACAATAGTGGGAACACGAGTCTCCTCAACCCCTCCCCATGCTCCATGAGGTCAGCATCCCCACTTACAGTCAGCGTGTCGTAGTAATCCTCGTTTTCTTTGCACTGCTGAAAGATATACTCCACTCCTAGGAAAATGTCTCCCAAATTACAGTCATCCAGACAACCAGGTTGGGGAAGTTCACCTGCTTTCAGATTCTAAAAAATGAGGGAACAGAGGTAAGGTTACTGCCTTGGGGACAGAAATCTGACCAGGAGAGCCCAGCTCAGAGTCTGAGGTGTAGGATACTGGACTCCACTACCACATGAAGCTCAAGTTGTATGCCTGAGGCCCAGCACCAGCAAGGGCCCAAGGGGGAAGACCGCACAGCCACTAAACAAGTGACCTTAAGTGCTTCCACCTTGACAACTGAGTTACTTCCCATTTCTTTCATTTCTTCTAACAGGGAGTCACACAGACACAGAATTTTGAGAGCTAAATCAGCAGCCCACTGACACAATTTTATATTTCTATTCTTTCTACTTCCCATTTTTTCCTAAACAGTCTTTCACATTCTCCCACAGAAAGACTGAAGACCAGCTGAGGACTGTTCCCACTAACCCAGTCATCTATGCCTGGATATTTAGGATGCTTCCATTTTTTTTCCCTACTAAGGAAAACAGTATTTAATATTATACAGTTAATACTGTATTTTCTTCCTTCTTTGAATTCGTTTCCTCAGGTGTGACATTAGTGGATTAGAGTATATAGGTATTTTTTAAAATATTTTTTTTAGTTGTTGATAGACCTTTATTTTATTTATGTATTTATATGTGGTGCTGAGAATCGAACCAAACCCAGCCCCTCACACACGCCAGGCAAGTGTGCTACCCTGAGCTGCAGCCCCAGCCCCGGTATGTTTTTTTAAAAACATTTTTTAGTTGTAGGTGGACACCACATATATATATATATACATATATATACACACACACACACATATATATATATATATATATATATATATATTTGTTTATTTATTTTTATGTGGTGCTGAGGATTGAACCGAGTGCTTCACACATGCTAGGCAAATGCTCTACCTCTTAGCCACAACCCCAGTCCCCTATATGTATGTTTCAAAGGCTCTGGAAGCACTATATGTTGACAAATTGTTTTTCAAAAGCGTTACTCCAATTTATACTGTTAGTAACAATGATTGAAGCCTTGTATTCACATAATATAGTTACCTGTAGCTACTACATTGTATCTGTTGAAAATATAAGTCCTAGTTTCTTTTATTTTCACTCTTTATGTATGGCACTAGGGACTGAAACCAGGGTCACTCTATCACTGAATTATATCCCCAACCTTTTCTAATTGTTTTCTTTTGAGACAGGGTCTCCTTGTGTTGTGGAGGTTGGCCTGGAATTTGTGAACCTCCTGCCTTAGCCTCCTGTGTTGGAGGATCACAGGTGTGTATCACTGTGAGTGGTTCAGTGTAATTTTCCATTTTTTGGATCCAAACATATTTAGTTACACTAAAAAAACTGCAGAAGCACTTTACTTCTTTAATTTGCTGATTGCACTACAGGTGAGATGGTGGAGTCTAGTCACCTGGGCTCAATGGGGGCCAGTAAGACTGTTGTCTTCACTTTTGTGTATTTTTGAAATTTTTCAAAATTAAAATTAATAACCTTGCTGGGTGCAGTGGTGCAGGCCTGTAATCCCAGCTGCCCGGGAGGCTGAGACAGGACCAGCCTCAGCTGGGATGTGGCTCAGGGGTCGAGTGCCCCTGAGTTCAATCCCCAGTACCAAAAAAAAAAAAAAAAAAAAAAAATTAAGAACCTTGTCTGGGGCTGGGGCTGTAGCTCAGTGGTAGAGTGCTTGTCTTGCCTACATGAGGCCCTGGGTTCCATCCCAGCACCACATTAAAAAAACAACAACAACAACAACAAAAAAAACGAATAAATAAATAAAAATGAAGATATTTTTAAAAAACCTTGTCTGTGATGCAACTAACACAGGCAATGGATTCTGTAAGGTTAGACAAGAGGAGGAACATATTTTCTTACCTCATGAAATGGAAAAGAAAGCACATCGGTTGGGACGTCTTTCTTTCTGTAGATCCTATTAATGTGCTGAATGTTCTTGTTGTCAACACAGATGATTCCCAGGTCAAATTTCTGTACTCCCAAAATATTCCTCACAACCTCCATCTTCCTGCGAAGCGGCACCCTCCTAAAGGGGATCACTCGCTGCAGATTTCTGATCACCAAGGTCATGGCAGGAAAAGCCTGACCGCTAAAGCCGTTCCGGTGGAACCTGTGGTCGCGGGTTCAAAGACGACCCTCAGTCCGGGAACCGACAGCTCGCACCTCAGACCATCCTCCCTGGCGGAACGGCTTAACAATCTGGAGGGAATTTACATTCGCCCTGGGAAGTACGAAACCGAGGGACAGGGCGGCGCGGGGAGAAGCGGGCGTGGACCCGGCGGGCGGGGAAGGGGCGGTGAGCGCCGGTGCTCCCGGGGCGCCCGGCGCGGCGGACCGACGCCCGGCAACGCACTGCTCCGCGCCGGAAGTGGGGTCCGGCGTCCTGACCGGAGCCGGGAGCGGCAGCCCGGGGCTGCGCACAGGAGCAGGGACCAGCGGGCTCGCGCAGTGGGCGGGCCGCTCGCCGGAAACCCGCCGGAAGCCCGCAGAGCGGAACCTGAATGCGGCGGCCTGGACGGACCCGCGCTAAGCGGACCGGAAGTTGGTCCGTTTTCGTTTTCTGCCCTCTGCCCCCAGCTGAGCGCCGCTCTCACGGCCGAGGCCGGTGCGTGCGCTGGGGTACGCCGGGACCCAGAGCGGCGAGCGGAGGAGGACCGAGAGCCGAGCGGGGCGCAGAGCGGGGCGGCGGCGCTGGCCTGGGCGTCCAGCGGCGGGCTGTGAGCGCCGGCCCTGCCAGCTCCCTTGGGCGCCCGGCGTCTCTACGGCGCGCGGCCAGCCGAGCCTGCAGGGCGGCCTGCTGGGGTCCCCGCCGGCGCCTCCGTCGCAGGCCGCTCGGCGCCCGGGCGGCTGCCAGCGCAGAAGGAAACGTACTTCTAGGCCTGGGAAAAGTTTTCCGTGCTCCAGTTACTCTGAGGAAAATTGAATGGGAGGAAACGCTGAAACAGTAACGTTTTCACAGTGTTACTTTGTGACTCTCTGGCCTCGGAGGTTGGAAGACTCTGGCGAGTTCCCCTTTAAAGTAGAAAGGTGTAAGTAACGACCTTCATTCTTTTTGCCAAATGACTTTTCACCAATTTATCAGCTCAGTAAGATAGATTTTTATTTTAATCTTAAAGGATCAGGATTTAAACTTAGGTAACATAGTACTTTATTTGTACCACCCTGTGCCCCTGCTCACCAACAAAAAGAATCTATGGGCTCTCAGTAGAAAATAAGATTGTTTAGTCCTCTGCATTGCCTGCCTTTTCATTAATTATCCTTAGAGTGTGACGGGTGACTCAAGACCCAGTCTTCTTGCAGGAGGTGCTGTGATGATCTGAATTTATGTCTTTCAGCTTATCTTGGTGCAACAGACTGTTTGAGGAAGCGGAATAATTTTGTACACTTAGTATTTATTGTCTTCTAATAATTGAATCAAAGATGAACCCAACCAACCCTTTTGGTGGGCAGCAGCCTAGTACTTTTGCAGCATCTTCTAGTAGTTCAGTGGGAACATTTCAGGCCAAACCCCCATTTCGGTTTGGTCAGCCTTCTCTTTTTGGGCAAAGCAATACACTATCTGGGAAGAACACAGGATTCTCACAGGTACCTGGCTTTGTGGCACCTTCCTCTTCAGTGCAAACGTTTGGACTCACCCAAACCTCAAGTTCTGGACTCTTTTCTGGACTTGAACACACTCCCTTTGTAGCTGTCTCTGGGCCTTCAAGTTCATCTGTGTCTGGAAATGCAGGATTTAGTTTCAAATCACCCACTAGCCTTGGGGTTTTCCCAAGTACTTCTACTTTTGGATCAGAATCTGGAGAAATAGCAAGCTGTGGTTTTGGGAAAACCGAATTCAGCTTTAAACCTCTGGAAAATGCAGTGTTCAGACCAATACTGGGGACTGAGTCCGAACCAGAGAGAACCCAGAGCCAAATTACTTCTGGGTTTTTCACATTTTCCCACCCAATTAGTAGTGGACCTGGAGGCTTGGCTTCTTTTTCCTTTCCTCAGGTGACAAGTAGTTCAGCTACCAATTCAAATTTTACCTTTTCAAAACCAGTTAGTAGTAGTAATTCATCATCTGCTTTTACCCCTGCTTTGTCAAACCAAAATGTAGAGGAGGAGAAGAGAGAACCTAAATCAATTTTTGGAAGTTCTAATAGTAGCTTCAGTAGCTTCCCCATATCATCTTCTGGGTCTTTGGGGGAACCATTCCCTGTAAACAAAACGGGTATCCGACCAGGGTGTGAAGAAGCTGTTTCCCAGGTGGAGCCACTTCCCAGCCTCATGAAAGGACTGAAAAGGAAAGAGGACCAGGATCGTTCCCCTAGGAGGCATGGCCACGAGGCAGAAGACTCAGACCCTTTGTCAAGGGGTGACCATCCTCCAGATAAACGGCCTGTGCGCCTGAATCGACCTCGAGGAGGCACTTTGTTTGGTCGGACAATACAGGATGTCTTCAAAAGCAATAAAGAAGTATGTCGTCTGGGCAACAAAGAATCTAGAAAGGAAGTTGGCTTTGTGGAGTCCGGGGAAAGTGACCACATGGCTATCCCAGGAGGGAGTCAGTCTGTCCTGGCACCCTCCCGGCTTCCAGGTGTGAATAAAGAGGAAGAAACTGAAGGTAGAGATAAAAAAGAAGGTGAGTTCTTAAAATGTATAATGCAGAGTAAATCTTGCTGGCAGGCTCTCCGTGAGTTTCCTGGGTATTAGCTTGTTTTTTCTGTTAGTTCTCTGTAAGTAGAACTTAAGGGATCCTTGGAGCAGGCCTTACATCCATGAACTTTTTCTTGTTTGAAGATGTTGCATTTGATGGTTTATGTTTCCATTGTCCTAACCCCTAGATTCTCTAAGGGGAACTATGCGTCAGAGTAAAAGAAGCGAGAGCACAGACAGTCTTGGGGGCTTGTCTCCCACTGAAGTCACAGCAATCCAGTGCAAGAACATCCCTGACTATCTCAATGACAGAACTATTCTGGAGAACCACTTTAGCAAAATTGCTAAAGTACAGCGCATCTTTACCAGGCGCAGCAAGAAGCTTGCAGTAGTGCATTTTTTTGATCATGTGAGTACTTCTGACTTGCCATTCACTACTGCAGATTTGACTTTTGTTGCTTTTGAACTGCTTAAAAGTGACACATTCTTCAGTTTTTTGCTTTCTAGAACATAGAGAAAGCACTCAAATTTTATCTCTCTCTTGTCCTGGAGAGCCTTGGATTGTTTATTTCATAACCTGGAATCTTGAAAGGCTTGAGGTGCCAGTGCTCTAGGAAAGCTCTGAGTGTTTCAACAGTCTAGCCCTCTGAAAGGCTTGGGAGTGGCTCTGTAACCACACAGCACTTTTTCAAACTTGAGTTTTCTGGTTTTGTTTTTCTTTAATTGATCATAGTACATGAACACCATAAATATTCTAATAATACAAAGAAAATGTGAAATCTCTTGTAATCCTGTCCTCCAGAAACAACTGGTGGGTTTGCACCAACTCTCAACATTTTTGTAATCCATGGGTTGTAGGTTACATGCGCAGATGCATTGCTCATGTTATGCAGCTTTATATGTTTATTATTTTTTCTAAATATTCTTATGGAAAAAATAATGTTCTTAAGTTTTGTTTTTTTTTTTGGTGGGGAGGGAGTACTGGGGATCAAACCCGGGGGCACTTTACCACTGAGCTACATCCTTAGCCCTTTTTTTATTTTCATTTTGAGACAGGGTCTTGCTAAGTTGCTGAGGATCTTGAGAAGTTGCTGAGACTGGCCTCAAACTTGTGATCCTCCTGCTTTAGCCTCCCAGGTTGCTGGGATTAAAAGTGTATGCCCCATGCCTGACTTTATAAGAATTTATAAAGAAGAAAGCATGTTTTCATAGCTTTTAATTTTATTTACTTTATATATATGTTTATATATGTATTTTAACAATTTTTTTAGTTGTAGATGGACACAACACCTTTATTTTGTTTATTTACTTTTATGTGGTGCGGAGGACCAGATTCAGTGCGTCACACATGGTAGGCACCATTGAGCTATAACCCCAGCCCCTATATATTTATTTTTAATTAGTTAATTGTTTTGGTACCTGGGATTGAACCCAGGGATGCTTAACCACTGAGCCATTCCCCAATCCTTTTTATTTTTTGAGACAGGGTTTTGCTAAATTGTTTAGGGTCTCACTAAGTTGCTGAGGCTGGCTTTAAACTTGTGATTCTCCTACCACAGCCTCCTGAGCTGCCTGGATTACAAGTGTATGTGCCTAGCTCTATATTTGTTTATTTTAAGAGGTAGGGTTTTGCTGTGGCCACACCGGCCTTGAACTCCTGAGTTCAAGAGAGAGATACTTTTACCTCAGTTTCCCAAATAGTTGGGACTACAGGTATGCAACATTGGGCCCTTCTAATCTTTAGTATTTCCCCAAATCAATAACCAGTGTCTATTTCTCCCTCCTCTCTTTTGTTTTGGTCGGGGGAGTACTGGGGACCAAACCCAGAGATGCTTAACCACTCAGCTACATCCTTAGCCCTTTTTTAATTTTTTTTTTAATTTTAATTTTTTTTTTTTTTAAGAGAGAGAGAGAGAGAATTTTAATATTTATTTTTTAGTTTTCGGCAGACACAACATCTTTGTTTGTATGTGGTGCTGAGGATCGAACCCGGGCCGCATGCATGCCAGGCGAACGCGCTACCGCTTGAGCCACATCCCCAGCCCCTTAGCCCTTTTTTAAAATTTTCTTTTTTAAAATATTTTTTTTAGTTGTAGTTGGACACAATATCTTTATTTTATTTATTGTTATGTGGTGCTGAGGATCGAACTCAGCGCCTCGCTCGTGCTAGGCCAGTGCTCTACCGCTGAGCCACAATCCCAGCCCCTTTAATGTTCATTTTGAGACAGGGTCTTGCTAAGTTGCTGAGAATCTTGAGAATTTGCTGAAACTGGCCTCAAACTTGTGATCCTCCTGCTTTAGCCTCCCAGGTTGCTGGGATTAAAAGTGTATGCCCCATGCCTGACTTTATAAGAATTTAAAAGCATGTTTTCATAACTTTTAATTTTATTTACTTGTTTGTATATATATAAAGTGGGATTCTATGGTGCATGGCATTTTATCCTGTTTATTTGCTTCCTTAGTTTTTGTCCTTTGTTTAAATTCCTAAGAGTGTAATTTAAAAAAAAAAAAATTTTTTTGTAGTTGTAGATAGTCAGCATGCCTTTATTTTATTTACTTATTTTTTTATGTGGTGCTGAGGATTGAATCCAGTGCTTCACATGTGCTAGGCCAGTGCTCTGCCACTGAGCTACAGCCCTAGCCCCTGTGTAATTTTCATGCGAAAATATTCAGTTTTAGGGGTTTTGCTATTTATTTTATTATTAAAATAATTCAGTATTATTAATTATGTTCACAGTGATGTGCAACCAGACAACTATTTCCAGAATTTTTTCATTATTGTAAACAGAAACTGTAACCATTAAGCAGTAAGTCCCCATACTGTTCCTGGTAACCTGGTAACCTCTAGGCTAATTTCTATCACTAAGAATTCACCTACTAGATATTTCATGTATGTGGAGTCATACAGTATTTGTCTTTTTGTGTGATTTATGTCAGTTAGCATTCATTGTAGCATGTATCAGAATTTGACTCCTTTTATGGGTGAATAGGATGGACCACCTTTGTTAATAAAATACTCTGTTGATGAACGTTTTGGCTTGCTTCCACCTTTTGGCTATTGTGGATAATACTGCTCTGAGTATTGTTATGTAAGTATAGGTTTGAGTCCTTGATTCCATTTTTTTGGGGTGTACACCTTGGGAGTAGACTTGCTGGATCACTTGGTAATCCTTATTTTAAAAAGTTCTGGGCTGGGGTTGTGGCTCAATGGTAAAGTGCTTGCCTGGCATGTGTGAGGAGGTACTGGTAAGAATTGTGTCCATCTAAACCTAAAAAATATTTTAAAACAAATTATGTTTTGCCTGTGTAATAAACATTAAGGTTTTTATTACATGATGTTTTTATTACATAATGGAAATAAAAATACATTGCCATTTTAATAATTTTATTGATATGGATGAAGCTGATTCCCCATGCACCCCCGCATGCCTCCCATGTCTGCTGTTACTCAAGACTGACCTCTTACCTAATGTGGTGCATATTTTTCTAGACATTGTATACGTATACAATGTGTAGTTAGTTTTGTGTGTGTGTTTTGGTTTTTTTTTTTTTTTTGGTATCAGGGATTGAACCCAGGAGCACTTTACTGCTGAGCTACATCCCTAGCCCTTTTTATATTTTATTTAGAGACAGGGTCTTGCAAAGTTGCTTAGGGCCTTGCTAAATTGCTGACTGGCTTTGAACTCTCGATCCTGCCTCAGCCTCCCAAATCACTGGGATTACAGGTGTGTGTGTATTTTGTGATAAATGGTATCACATTTCAAATATTTTTTTAGTTGTAGTTGGACACAGTATCTTTATTTTATTTATTGTTATGTGGTGCTGAGGATCGAACTCAGCGCCTCGCTGAGTTCATCATCTTGTAGTTGATATTCCTTTTGTGCTTGAGTGTGACTTGGCAATCTTTTTGTTTCTGTGTATGAAACCAGCTGGTGAGATTCATCATACCAAATGCTGAGGCCAAGTTCATGTGTTATTTCAAATAGGAGAAGTTCACATACATGCCTGTGTGATAGGTAAGGGACATGAGGGCTATGGCAGCCACAGCTGGAGACAGAAATGCAGGCAGAACATGTGGTAGGAGGAGGCACTGTTGGCTCCTTTTCATCTCTGAGTGATCTCATCATTCTGTACTGAAGTCTTAAGCCTAATGTTCTCTGGTCTCCTGCTGTCCTCATAATTCTATTACTGGACGATTTTTCAGGCATCTGCAGCCCTGGCAAGGAAGAAGGGGAAAAGTTTACATAAGGATGTGGCTATCTTTTGGCACAAGAAGAAAATAAGTGAGTTTTCAGTTATTCTTTTCATGGTCAGATGCTCTGTGCAAGTTGTTTGACCTGTGAATGTCAGTCCTTTCCCCACCACTGGTGGGGAGGCTGGCTCTGAGTGGATCCTCATGTCTCATAGTTGTTTTTTTGGGATATTTCCTAACCTCTTGTGACAATTATAAAAATATTGCTTTCTCAAAAAAGAATCTAAGTCCAGTGTCAGGAGACCTGTGATGGCATAAACTCTGTTCTGACTTCTGTGTCCTCAGGTCCCAATAAGAAACACTTTTCCCTGAAGGAGAAGAAACCTGGTGACAGTGAAGCCAGCCAGGGAACAGAGGATGCACCCTTTCAGCACTCCCCTCTTGGCAAGCCCATGGTGAGGCCTGCAGCTGGAGGCCTGAATAAAAGGTGGGTTGGTCTTTTCTGCTGATCACATTGAAGGACAGATGGGCTTAGTGTCATCTAATGACATCTGAGTAGTGGCTGAGGGACCAGGGGGATGGGAAAAAATGAGCTAGTTGCCAGGCTGGGGTTGTAGCTCAGTGTGAGTGCTCGCCTGGCATGTGTGAGGTACTGCGCTCAGTTCTCAGCACTGCATGTAAATAAAAGAACAAAATAAAGGCCCATCAACAACTAAAAAATATATTTTTAAAAAAGAGCTAATTGCCAGCAGCTTCTGGGACTGGAAAACAGGGGTCCTTCTGAAGACCGTCCCCCGCCCCGCCACCCCTACCAACCAGCATGAGCAGTGAGGAGGCTCTGGGATAGCACATCTTTGCAGGGTTGGGTCCCAGCTGAGACTGGAGAATGAGTTTTCTACATCTGGAACTTGTCATCTGCAGGGCTGATTCTGTCTCATCCTGTTCTCATAGACAAGGAGCTGAGAAGACCCTCTTTTGGGGCGGGCCTTATTTTCCATCTAGGCATTTTCTCTGGGAGAATCTCATCACAAAGCTGCTGTAATCTAGCCTGGTCTGGTCCTCTTAGCCCCAGCTATAGAGACCCTGTGGGTTATTTCCTACTCGGGGGGCTACTCACTTAGGGTGGCAGAGCTTCTGTCTGCACAAAAGGGTGCCTACCCCATGAGGCTCATGGAGTACAGTGCCCTGAGCTGGTCACCATCTCTATGCTTGTCATGTCCCATAAGGTTACCTGTAGTCCCCCCTGAAATGCTAATGCATCTCAGTAATTTTGCCCATTAAGACATCTGACTGTAATAATTGAATTCTTTTTTTTTTTTTTTTTAATATTTTGGTTTTAGTTGTAGTTGGACACAATACCTTTATTTTATTTATTTATTTATTTTTATGTGGTGCTGAGGATCAAATCCAGTGCCATGGACATGCTAGGTGAGCTCCCTACCACTGAGCCACAACCCCAGCCCCAATAATTGCATTCTTAATAAGGATTTGTTCAGCCTCTGTACAACTTCTTATAGGTTTCATTTATTGCAGTAAAGTGGATGCTCACTCCCTGGGCAGCTGTGAATTGGTGTGAGCGTGGTTGCTTTTTCATCACATGCTGCCCTGTCTGTATGGGGAACTCTTTCCCAGGGGCCCCTCCTCTGAGTTTGTGTTCTGAGAGAGCTGGCTGGCTCCTGTCCTATTTACAACTGGGCCTGCTTTGACAAGTCTCTGCCTTAACCTTTCTTTTCTTTTGGCTAGTGCATTGTTTTCCTCATTTTATTTATGTATTTATTTATTCATTTTGTGGTACTAGGAATTGAACTTGGGGCCTCACTCATGCTAAGCAAGTGCTCTACCACTGAGCTAAGTCTCCAACCTTTTTTCTATTCTTTTTTTTTTTTTTTTGAGAAAGGGTCTCACTATATTGTCTAGGCTGTCCTTGAACTTGTGATCCTCTAGCTGGGATTATAGGTGTGTCCACCCGCTTTGCAGATTCACTTTCTTTTTTTTTGATATTTATTTTTTAGTTATCGGTGGACACAGCATCTTTTTTTTGTATGTGGTGCTGGGATTGAACCCGGGCTGCACTCATGCCAGGCGAGTGTGCTACCGCTTGAGCCACATCCCCAGCCCTGCAGATTCACTTTCCATTTCATGATTGCAGTTTAATTGCTGGCTTGATTTTGATTTTTCTTTTCTCACTCAACCAGTCTTACACTGTCTTTGGCATTCAAGTTTAGAAAATGTTGAAAAACAGCTAGAAAATGGGGAAGCTGAGACCCGTTCTGCTTAGTGTGTCCTTCAACAGAAATAAAGTTGGGTATTACAGCATGTAGGCAGAGTATTTCCTTATGGCATTAAAGGTGTGTTTTTTTCCAGAATGAATTTAATTGCTTTGAGATAGAAGTCCAGAAATATTTATCTTAACTGTTTAAATTAGTTCATTTCATCTTTTAAAAACATGAAATATTTCAGAAATTATTTAAAAACTAGTAAATAATTATATTACTTTTGTGCCTGTAACCAACTTTTTTCCCCCATTGAGATGAGCTCTTGCTACATTGCTCAGACTTGTCTCAAACTCCTGGGCTCAAGTGATTCTCCTGCCTGCCTTCCAAGTAGGTAGGACTACTGGTGTGTGCCACCATGCCTGCCTTACTTGCTCCTTCTTTTTATGTGGTACTGGGGATTGAACCCAGGGGACGCTATCGCAGAGCTACATTGCCAGCCCTTTTTATTTTTTATTTATTTATTTTTATTTTTAATTTTTTTTAATTTTTTATTTTGAGACAGGGTCTTGTGAAGTTGCTGAGGCTGGTCTTGAACTTTGTATCCTCCTGCCTCTGTCTCCTGACTTGCTGGGATTACAGGCATGTGCCACTGTGCCTGGCCTTGCTTCTTTTTCATTAAGAAAAGAAGACTTTTCTCATCACCAGTTTTATCAAGGCTTATCTCATTTTAATGCTTTCTCAGTTTTAAAGGACCCAAAAATCTTGACAGGTTCAGATATGGAAATGTTACAAGGACCTTAATGTATTTTTTTTCTATAGCTCTCCAGTGAAGAAGCCAAGTCTTCTGAAGGCTCACCAGGTTGAGGGAGACCCATTTGACTCTGGGTCTGAGGGCTCTGAGGGCCTTGGGCCGTCCGTGTCATCCCTTAGTACTCTGATAGGTACTGTTGCTGAGACATCTGAGGAGAAGTACCGCCTGCTTGACCAAAGAGACCGGATCATGCGGCAAGGTATGTGTATTGTGGCACAGGTTCCAGAGTCCATGGAAAGGTTATGGTGAGGTGGCTTCCCAGTAGGGAAGTGTCCCTTTCCATGGGCTCAACTGCCATTGAGTCTCTGGGTCTCTGATGTGCCACCTCTGCCTGTTATTGTTTACCAGTCTTCCTGGGGTTGAGTGCTGTGTGTGTACCTATGTAGATGAATGTGTTTGCAGACATATGCATGAAATAATGATGAGAAGGTGGTGTCCCAAGGGTTGAGGTGAAGAGTGCTTGGTTTTGGACGTAGTCCCACCCGTGGAATGTTGAGCTGTGTAAATGTGTCGCCTTCAAAGTATTGATTAATGTGAAAGAGATACAGTGACCAAACATGTAAATATACATACTCTTTGCAATTTTTCTTCTTAAATTTCAGTTTTAGGAGTTTCCTTTTTTTTTTTTTTTTTTCTTTAATTTTATTTCTTTTTTTGGGACTGGAGGATTGAACCCAGGGGCATTTAACCACTGAGCCACATCCCCATCCCTGGAGTTTTGTTTTTTAAAAGCTTTGAATAATTGGAATAATCACAGTGCTTCCTTAACACAGTAATAAAAGCTACTGCCAAAAATTATGTCATTGACATGGTGATTTTTATATGTTAAATAAAATTATTACTAGGTATTGAATTATTTTCAAAATAAAAATAAGATTACATTTTGAGTTGTGAAGTTATTGCATTCCATTTTATTTAAAAAATACATTTAGGCTGGACTCGATGTTGCACACCTGTAACCCCAGCGACTCAGGAGCTGAGGCAGGAGGATGGCAAGTTCAAGACCAGCCTCAGCAATTTAGGCCCTAAGTAACTTAGTGAGACACTGTCTCAAAAAATAAAATAAAATAAAAAATGGGATGGGGTGTAGCTCAGTAATAAAGCACCCCTGGGTTCAATCCCCAGTACTGATAAATAAACAGAAAAGATAAATATGTAACCTTGAATTCTGTGGATAATAATCGTGTACTTACTCAGGTCAAGACCCCATTAACTTCCATTACAAATAACGAGAGAGAATTCTAGAATACTTGTATATTTTGAATAGTTGCATTTAACAAATTTATCACTTTAGTAAACATCCTACACCATGATTGTTTATCACTGAAGTCACCATAAGAATTAACAGAACACTGGACTGGGATTGTGACTTAGTGGTAGAGTGCTTTGCCTAGCACATGTGAGGCACTGGGTTTGATCCTCGGCACCACATAAAAATAAATAAATAAAATACAGTTATTTAAAAAATAAAATAAATTAAAAAAATAAAGGTGTCCATCTACAACAACAACAACAACAAAAATAGAAAAAAAAAAAGAATTCTAGAACACTGGTGGTACATCTAGCTTTGAGTGAGAGGATGCCCATCTGTAGTCTGCAGTGAAGTTCTGTTGAGTGTTGGAGAGGCCTGGCCCTGGTGGTCTTTTTGATCCTTGATGTCTACTGTCTGAAAGGGTAGGCCATAAAGTCCCTTCGTCTGATGGGTTTTAAAAATATTTCTTTCCTTTGTAATTTGTGTTTCTTTCTTTTTTCAATTTTTGTCTTTTGTTACTATGAAAATACACTTCTGTGGGTTCCCAGTAACCAACCTGTGGTATGTCCTTACCTCTTACTTGACATCACTTAGCTCGGGTGAAGAGGACTGATCTGGACAAAGCCAGGACTTTTGTTGGGACATGCCCTGACATGTGTCCTGAGAAGGAGCGGTACATGCGGGAGACCCGGAGTCAGCTTAGCGTTTTCGAAGTGGTCCCAGGCACTGACCAGGTGGGACTCTGGTCTCCCCTCTTATCAGGGGTTGGAGGTGGGGGTGTGTTGGGCAGGGGTGGGGAAGGCTTGTTCTTTGTGGTTTCCGTACATGTGGATACTTGATTTGAATGTTTGCTTTTTTTGGATGGTGATGGGCATTTGTGCTATTAATAGTTATATTAAGCTATTTCATACTGACATGTTGGCTAAGTAGTTTTTGTGTAATGCAACTAAACCACATCATATTTAATGCAATAAAGTACAGATGTAGGATTTTTTTTTTTTAAAGAAAGGTAAGAAAATTTATTAAAGAAAGGAGGGGAGACACTCTCAAGGGAGAGAGTGGTTCGTCTTGGAAAGGAGATCTACCTTGATGTGGGTTTTTAAAATCTAGATTAAAATTTTATTTTTTCCTCTTTTTACAGTTTTTTTTCGGGGGGAGGGGGGAGTCACCGGGGATTGAACTCTGGAGCATTCAACCACTGAGCTGCATCTCCAGCCCTTTTTTGTATTTAGAGACAGGGTCTCACTGGGTTGCTTAGCACCCTGCCTTTGCTGTGGCTGGCTTTGAACTTGTGATCCTCCTGCCTCAGTCTCCTGAGCCACCATGCCTTTTTACAGTCTTATTCCTTCCCTTTTCTGTATTTATGTTCTGCACATGGAGATGATGGATGATCTAGATTCAATTTGTATCTTTTCATGAACACTTCCGTGTCTTATGAGGATTTCTTCATAAGCATTTCTTTTTTAAAACATTTTATTCTAATTAGTTACACATTCATAAGTGTTTTCTAAATGAAGCATATGTGTCTTTATGTAGCTCTGTCAAAACTGTCCATTTTTTGCAGTCAGTAGATAGACTGTTTTTAATTTTTCAGTTCAAATTATAATATTGTTTGGCATCTTGTGTGCAATGCTTCTATGATATTTTGATTATTTTCTTCAGCTACATCCTATGCATTAAATTACTGCATCAGAGAGTCTCACCCTTCCTGAACTGTGTTAGCACATATTCCTCAGAAATCTGCACCAGTCTAGATTCTTTTGCTCTTCAGGTTTTTAAAATTTTAATTAAAAAATAATTTTTAAGAGGGTGGGGGATATAGCTTACAGGTACATCTGGATTCATTCTCTAGTCCCACACACACAAAAAAATCTTGGCCCTGAAACTCTCGAGTTGTGTGGCTTTGTCAACCATTTTGAACCTCAGTTCATCTTTATTTTTTGGATAAGGGGTTGAATCCAGGGGTTCATTTTAAAAGTGTATTCTTAGGCATGGATCTCGTGTGAGTGCATGCATGATTTCCCCCTTGATTAAAGGAAAAACTGTGCCAGTAGGTGACCCCAGCACCTGCCACACAAATAACCTGTCCCTGTTCTGTGTTCCTAGGTGGACCATGCTGCGGCCGTGAAGGAATATAGCCGGTCTTCAGCTGATCAGGAGGAGCCTCTGCCACATGAGCTACGACCATCTGCAGTGCTCAGCAGGACCATGGACTACTTGGTGACTCAGATCATGGACCAGAAGGAAGGCAGCCTGCGGGACTGGTACGACTTCGTGTGGAACCGCACACGGGGCATACGGAAGGTATCAGCTGCCTCTGGTCAGGAGACTAGGAAATGCATGTATATTCCAAAGGCGTACTGGGAGCACTTTTCATTTTACTACTAGGGATTGAACCCAGGACACTTAACCACTGAGCTACATCTCCAGCCCCCTCCCCCTTTTGTGTGTGTGTGGTTCTGGGGTTGAACCCAGGGTCCTGTGCATGTAAGGCAAACACTCTACTAACTGAGCTATATCCCCAGCCTACTCCAGCTCTTTTTATTTTGTATCTTGAGACAGGGTCTCACTAAGTTGCATAGGGCCTCACTAAGTTTCTGAGGCTGGCTTTGAACTTGTGATTCTCCTACCTCAGCCTCCCAAGTCACTGGATTACAGGCATCTGCCATAGTGCCTGAATTACTCAAATATCTTAATCTAAAACAAAAATATACTTTTATTTAAACTGTTATAAAATCCTCTTAAAATGTGCTTGATGGGCTTGGTTTCAAGTTGAAAAGTAAGCAATTCAGTGGTGATAAGCATGGATTTTCTCATAGTTGATTCTTTGCCAGGGCAGTGTGTGTGGAGCATGTGCAAGTATAATGCATGTGTGTGTGTAATCCTTCCCCACCCCTGTGGCCAGGACATTACACAGCAGCATCTCTGTGATCCCCTGACGGTGTCCCTGATAGAGAAGTGCACCCGATTTCACATCCACTGTGCTCACTTCATGTGTGAGGAGCCCATGTCCTCCTTTGATGCCAAGATCAACAATGAGAACATGACCAAGTGCCTACAGAGTCTAAAAGAGATGTACCAAGATCTGAGGAACAAAGGCATCTTCTGTGCTAGTGAAGCCGAGTTCCAGGGGTACAACGTTCTGCTCAATCTCAACAAGGGGGACATCCTGAGGTGAGTTTCCTGATTCACAAGATGGCCTATGATATGTGAAAAGGCAAGATTTAGCTTGGAAAAGAGCCTTTAAGATTGCAATAGCTGACAGTGCTGAGCTCTCTCTGCTAGGGAACACTAGGTGATAGCAGGACGCCCTCGTCTGAGCTGTCAGCAGCTGAGCTGCGAGCAGAGCAACGGGTGTGCACTGTACCCGCACATCTCACTCACACCCTCATGTTCACTCCAGAGCATGTTTCTCCTCAATGAGAGAAAATGAGGGCCAAAGCTTCCTGATCATACAGGTAGTGAGTCAGGACAGGGAAGCCCACATTCTATCAGAGTTGTTAGCAATTTGCTTTTTCTAGGTAGTTTTGTCAAAGGTCTAAGAAAGAGAAAGGAAAACACTGTGAAACAAAATGGTAAGTATCAATGTTAAAAATGGAAGAATTTTAAGCCAAGTATGTTGGCACATACCTGTAATCTCAGCAGCTCTAGCTGGGGAGGCTGAAACAGGAGGATTGCAAGTTTAAAGCCAGCCTGAGCAACAGGGAGGTGCTAAGCAACTCAGTGAAACCCTGTCTCTATGAAGTACAAAAATAGGGCTAATGATGTGGCTCAATGGTGAGTGCCCCTGAGTTCTATCCCCAGTACCCCACGCCACCCTCCAAAAAGAAGGAATTTTAAACCCTGGTTTGATATGTAAGTAGACCTTTATCTGATAAATATGCCTGAGTCTCTGGGCCAAGTTTGTGAGTTGGTAAACTGAATTCAGTGCTGGCTATTGTCCTTTAGTTCCAAGGTTCTTTTATTTATGGTGAAAAATTTTTTTAGCTTATTTATGGTGATTTTTTTTTTTTTTTTTTTAGCTTAGTATTTTCTCCAAGAACTTTGTTGTAGAACATCTAGATGTGTGATTGGTTATGTTTTAAAATTAAGCCTGGCAGATAAGCTGGCTATGGAAAATGGCTGTGCTGTCTTTTCATATATGACAATCATTTGTTTCTATCTTAAATAGTTCAGTCAAATTGATTTTTTTTTTAAAATAACAAACTTTGTCGTTATACTGCTGGCATTCAGTCAGCATTATTTTTTTGGTACCAGGGATTGAACTCAGGGGCACTCTTGCCCACTGAACCACATCCCCAGGCCTATTTTGTACTTTGTAGACAGATTCTCACTGAGTTGCTTAGCACCTCTCCATTGCTGAGGCTGGCTTTGAACTCATGATTTTCCTGCCTCAGTCTCCCGAGCTGCTGGGATTATAGGCAGGTGCCAATGCACCTGGCCAGTCGGCATTACTTTAAGATAACTTTTTGATGATTACTAAATTATTGCTTGAATCAGTGTATTTTATCCTTTTAAAGAAAACCCTTATTGATCTAGGTCCAGAGTGGTAACTCTGAAATCAGAAAAGTGAATTCAGAGGCACACTTCACCACAGGACACTCTTTCTCAGTATTGTTGAAATCTAGTTATTTATCAGATCTATCTTTCTAGAAATGTTGTTTAATTAAAAACAATACTCTGAACATTTTGTCTCCCTAACAGAGAAGTGCAGCAATTTCACCCAGATGTCAGAAACTCCCCCGAGGTGGACTTCGCTGTCCAGGCTTTTGCTGCACTGAACAGTAATAATTTTGTGAGATTTTTCAAACTGGTCCAGTCAGCTTCCTATCTGAATGCGTGTCTTTTACACTGTTATTTCTATCAGGTGAGTAAAATGACTGCTTGTCGCACAAGAAGGAAGAGATTGTTACTTGGGGTGCTGAAGCATCTCTCTGCTGTGGAGCTCTTCCAAGCGGGTTATAGCTCCCTCTCCTGGAAACTGCTGCAGCCTGTGAGGGATTTGTGATGGTCCCTTGACTTGGGATTGGCACTGCTGATCACTGCCAGGAGAAGTGTGCAGTGCAGATGCTCACTGTGGCTCAGATAAGAGGAATCTTGAGCATGGCAGCCAGGTTCAGCCTTGTGAACATTCATGCAGACAGAAACGAAAAAGCAGAGATCCCATATTACTTGCACAAAATCTCTAATTTTGAAATTCTCAGCATTATTAATCCAAAATTTGGGGGTGAGGCTGGTCAAGTGGGGTTGACTGTTGCCTTTGTCTAACTGGCTTCTTTATTTGAGACTGCCTTCCCTTTCAGATCCGCAAGGATGCTCTCCGGGCTCTCAACATTGCATATACTGTGAGCACACAGCGATCTACTGTCTTTCCCCTGGATGGTGTGGTGCGCATGCTGCTTTTCAGAGACTGCGAAGAGGCCACAGACTTCCTCAACTATCATGGCCTCACTGTTTCTGATGGGTAAGGGCTGAAACTGGAACTGTGGGCTTTGCTCCCATTCCCTTTTTCTTTTTACATTCCAATAAAGGGCTGTAAAAGTGTCAGTTGCTTGCCAAGTCCTAGAGAAGGCATGTTCCACTTGCTGCTTTCCTGATATGGAGCTGGGAAGTACTCCCAAAGTCACATGCTGTTTGTGGGCAGACTGGTTTCAGACCGAGTTCTTTGTGACTCTAAAAATCAATGCTTTTCATGAGTTACCAAAGAATCCAAAGATTAAATTTAAGAATCTTCCTATTCTGTTCCTTTAAGATAGCCTTTGCTGACCTGTGAGTGACCACTGCCCACTTCTGATAGTTGAGATGGTTGAGATAGAGGTAGCAATAGGCCAGGCTGATGTGTTTTCCTCTACCTTCCAGTCAGTATTTTGAGACCATGATGAAATTTCCAAACCCTCTCCCAGCAATTGGCATCATTATACTCAGTGGGGTTTCTCCAGCCCCTTCCTCCTATAGCTCTTTTCTCCAGAGCTGTCCTTCAGGAGATGAGCAGCTTCTTTTCTTGAGACAGGACCATATATTGTCCCACGTGTGGTTGTTTACATGCTAGGCCACGTGGTTATGGAGGCTGACAGTAGGGGTTACTGTGGTCTGTGCCTTCCTCTCATCTGCATGTGGCCTAGGGGACACAGGACAAGGTTTGGGTTTGTGGCATTACAGCTAGATTTGGGAAGATGAAGCTGCCATCTTCCCTGAGTGACACCTTTCTGTGGGCTCTTTGTGGTCTGGGTAGCTGTGTGGAGCTGAACAGGTCTGCATTCCTGGAACCAGAGGGATTATCCAAGGCCAGGAAGTCAGTGTTTATTACCAGGAAGCTGACAGTGTCGGTTGGTGAAGTTGTAAATGGAGGGCCATTGCCCCCAGTTCCTCGTCACACACCCGTGTGCAGCTTCAACTCCCAGAACAAGTACGTCGGGGAGAGCCTGGCCACAGAGCTACCCGTCAACGCTCAGAGACCTAGCTTGGATACATCGGGTGAGTGAAGCTGCCCTGCATTTTCCTCAAAGCCTCTCCATGCCCAGGAGCATCTGTCTTAGTCTGGGGCCTGGAGGGCCCTCGGCTTGGTACCCAGGTGTACCTCTCCATACAGTTCTGAAGTCCTTCTCTGGGCACCCTGACACCACAGTGCTGTTTTGCACATGAAGCAATATACCCTCAGGGGTCCCATGGGTGTTTTCAGGGAGGGCAGTCCTTTAGGTCCGTGTGACTGTCCCTGCATGGAGATGACTGCATCTGGTGCTGTTTGTGTGCATCTGCAGTAACATGTTTTCCTGTGTCCTTTCTTCCAGGTGATGGGAGAGGAGAAGAATGTGAGGCAGAGCAGGATGTGCCATCACAGGGTCTCCTTCCGCAGCCTCTTCCAGTCCCCGTACCCTCACCTGTATCTCTGCCTCATGTCCCTCCACCACCCCCATCTGTGGCACCCAGTCTATGCCAGCTCTCCATGCAGCCTGAGGTGCTGCCTCCAAAGCCTGCACCTGTGTACTCTGATGCGGTAGGGAATCTTCTAGGTCAGGGCTCTGAGAAGTCCATTGTGCACAAATGTCTTTGGCCCCCACTGCCCTGTGTTGGGGTGCTGTGTTGCCTGGTCTCAAAGGAGAGGAGCCAAGTAGAGTGGAGGGTAGTATCTGCCCATGTTCATGACCTCATGTGGCAGAACTGAGCCTAACACCCCCAGGCTAACGTCAGAGCCCTCTTTTCTTCTCAGTAGTCAGAGCAGTACTTCAGTGCTTACTACCAGAGCGTCAGCCTGTGTGGTCTGATTGAAATTAGCACCTCTTCATTCGAGATGGCCAGTGGATAGGTTGGCCAGCACCTGTGGGATCATGGTAGTATTATGTGCCCGGGCACAAGGGGTTTCCAAGGAACTGAGTAGAGCCTGTTTACTGCACAGGTGTGGGACTCGAATGTGTCATCCTGGCCACTCAGAGGCAGGCACTGGGCAATAACCACATGCGGGGAGTCAGGGAGTCCTGAGGGGAGCACAAAGAACCACCACAGAAGTTGATGATGTTCAATGTGGACAAGTGAAGATGAACAGGGCACAGTGGGGCCGTCTGAAGGGTGGTTATCCAGCAGGCTTCCCTGGCTTTTCCCTCTGGAAGGCACCTAGCCATTCCTCAGAGACCTCTCCTGAAGCAGTGTGGCTGATTCCACGATAGGGGTCAAGTGCTTTGTCAGTGGGTACCTTCAGACAGTGTCTAGTGACAAGGTTTCACTCCAGATTTCTGTCCTGGGTGGGACGCTGTATTTGACCCCTGTGCTGGTGTCTCCATAGGACCTTGTGCAGGTGGTGGATGAGCTTATCCAGGAGACTCTTCAGAGGGACTGTGAGGAAGTGAGCTCGGCTGGCGCAGCTTATGCAGCTGTAGCTCTGGGGTGAGTGACACCCAGCGCACCGCCCTCCCCTTCAGCAGCTGTCTGCCACTCCTTCTCAAAAAGTGTTTTCATTCTTCCACAAGATCTGGGTGGGCAGGCTCGATGCTCGTGGTGATAGTTTCAGGGACTTCTGCATCTTCTACTCTATAGACGGGTGCTATTTTTTATGTTCCTGCCCTGCTATTTCATTACTCATGCTCTTTTGGGGTACTGGGGATTGAATTTGGTGCACTCAACCACTGAGCCACATTCCCAACCCTACTTTTTTGTATTTTATTTAGAGACAGGGTCTCACTGAGTTGCTTAGCACCTGGCTAAGTTGCTGAGGCTGGTTTTAAACTCAAAATCCTCTTGCCTCAGCCTCCCAAGTTGCTGGGATTATAGGCTTGCGCAACTGCACCCAGCTACATGTGCTTTTTTAAAAAAATATTTCTTAGTTGTAGATGGACACGATACCTGTACTTATTTATCTTTATGTGGTGCTGAGGATCTAACCCAGGGCCTCAAACATGTTAGGTGAGTGTTCTACCACTGAGCCATAACTCCTCCACATGTTTTTGAGCAACAGTTTATATTAAAGTTTATAAGTTATAAACCTATTTTTCTTTAAACATATCTCAAATGTCCAGTCAAAATTAGTTCATTCCTTGTTAAAAATTAGAAACATTTATTTTTCTCAATTTAGTTTCAATAAATGTAATAAAGTTTTTCTAAGCTCTTAATTTTAAAGTGAACTCAACATCTTTTAACAATCCCAGTGGCATAACAATAAGGAAAGATATTGTTTTGTCTGTATGAAATATAGCTACTTGGGCCGGGTGTGGAACACACCTGTAATCCTACTGATTTGGGAGGCTGAGGTAGAAGGAGTGCAAATTCAAGGCTGTCCGGGGAAACTTAGGTCCTGTCTTAACCAAAATAAAAAGGGCTGGGGAGCTGGGGATATAGCTCAGTTGGTAGAGTGCTTGCTTCTCATGCACAAGGCCGTGGGTTCAATCCCCAGGACCACTAAAAAAAAAAAAGAAGAAGAAGAAGAATTACACAAAAGGATTGACACTGTATGTTTCTTAATGGTTTTTTTCTGAGGTAGAATCTTGAACTCCTAGGCTTAAGGATCCTCTTACCTCAGCCTCCCAAGTAACTATGACTGTGGATACATGATGTCATGCCTGGCTGGTTAAGTTTTTTTTATCCTGGAGTTAAAATATATACTTCCTAATTTGTTTTGTTGTTACTTTAAGATGGAACTCAGGGGTATTCTATCACCGAGCTACATCTCCAGCCCTTTTAAAAAACTTTTTGGAGATAGGGTCTTCTAAGTAGCCCAGGTTGACTGTGAACTTTTGATCTTTCTGCCTCAGCATCCTGAGTAGCTATGATTATGGGTGAAGCATGCCCCATTTAATGAAACTAAAAAACTATTTCCATGGGCTTATATATTTGTGGTACTGGGGATTAAACCCAGGGGGTGTTTTACCAATATGCTACATCCCTATCCCTTTTCTATTTTTTTAATATATATATTTTTTATTTGTAGTTGGACGCAATATCTTTATTTTATTTATTTTTATGTGGTGCTGAGGATCGAACCGAGGGTCTCGCACTTGCTAGACAAGTGCTCTACTGCTGAGCCACAACCCCAGCCCCGTTTTTCTGTTTTTCAATTTTAGATAGGATCTTGCTAAATTGCTGAGGTTGATCTTAAACTTATAATCCTCCTCCTGTCTCAGCCTCCCAAGTTGCTGGGATTATAGGCATGTGCTATCATAGGCATGTGCTACCATACTCAGCAGAGTTTTATAATATTATTTCATAAGTTTAGGTTTTTATCTATTTTATTTCATTTTTGTGTATGGTGTAACATAAGGGTCCAATCTCATGCTTTGACAGTGGATATCTAGTTTTCCTAGCACCATTTGTTAAAAAGACTTCTTTCCCTATTAACTGGTATTGGCAGCCTTGTTGAAAGTCATTTAAACATGATGTGAGGGTTTCTTTCTGGGCTCTATGTTCTGCTTCATTGGTCTTTATGTCTGTCCTTACACCAGTACTACCTTGTTTTGGTTAAAGTAGTTCTGCAATAAGTTTTGATATTAAAAAGTATACATCCGGGCTGGGGTTGTGGCTCAGTGGTAGAGCACTTACCTAGCACATGTGAGGCCCTGGGTTCGATCCTCAGCACCACATAAAAATAAAGGTATTGTGTCCAACTTCAACTAAAAATAAATATTAAAAAAAAAAGTATAAATCTTTTAACGTTGTTGTTGTTCTTGTTTTCTCAAGGCCGTTTTGCTATTTGGGATTCCTTGATATACCATTCTAATTTTAGAAAGCATTTTTCTATTTCTGCAAAAAATGCTATTGGGATTTTGATAAGGATTGCACTGAACCTATAGATTATTCTGAGTGGTATTGTCATCTTAACATTTAGGTTAGCCTTAATTTCTTTCAGCAGTGTTTTAATAGTTTTCAGTGTACAATACTTTTGCCTCCTTGGTGAAATTTATTCCTGATCATTATTTTTATTTTCTAGGCTTCTTATAAATGGAATATTTAAAAAATTCCATTTCAAATTATTCATTGTTTATATGTAGAAATACTACTGATTTTTGCTTTTTTTTCAGTGCTGGTATCAAACCCAGGACCTTGTGCAGGCTAGGCAAGCACTCTACTGAACTATGTTCCCTGTCCACTGTATATTGATTTTTATCCTTCAACCTTATTGAGCTTCTTTATTAGGGTTCCTAGGGCTTTTTATATGTAAGATCATGTCATGTGTGAATGGATATAGTTTTATTACTTTTCCAATTTGGATGCTGCTTATTTTTTCTTGTCTAATTGCTCTGGCTATAACTTCAATAATGTGTTGAAGTGGAAAACGTGGGCATCATTGTCTCCATATCTCAGAGGAAGCGCTTTCAGGCGTTCACCACTGTGTATGATGTGAGTTATGGGTGTTTCATAAATGGCTTAAGGGTTTTGCTTCTGTTCCTAGTGTGAATTTTACTAGATATTCTTTCTGCATTAATTGAGGTGATTGTGTGTGCATGTGTTTTAACTCTGTTCTGTTAATGTGGTCATATTACATTGATTAGTATTCATAGGTTAAACCATCCTTGCATTCCAGGAACAATCCTATTTGATAATAGTCTATAATGACTTTCTTTTTCATGAGTTTGAATTCTATCCACTTTGCTCTTTTTAGTGTTTCTAATGCTGCCATGGAGGATCTGTTAATGGCTACAACCACAGGCCTTTTGAGGCATGTTGCAGTTGAAGAAGTGACTGAGGAAAGGGAGCGAAGGGAGGAAGAAAAGAGGCGGGCTGAAGAGGAAAGGTGAGTATGCCTTGCCCTGCAGTAGGACATGGTTGAAGAGTAGACACAGAGGTGAACTGCCCTGGCCCCTGATTCTGATACTGTTGTCCAGTGTGCTGCCATTAGACCTCTTCAGGTCCACTCAGCACCCTCATATATACTTTGTCCCAGGGATTAGGTGGGGATCCCCTGACTGTACCAGCCTGTGAACAGTGCCCTTCCCCTCAGCAGGACAAAAAGGGAAAGAAGCTGCACTGGAGGTGGCTGCTGACTCAGGCAGGACCACTCACTTCCATCTGCATGATTAAGGAGTAAAATAATTTTTACTTTTTAATTTTTTGTGGTACTGGCAACTGAACCTAGGGGTGCTGTACCTCTGAGCTACATTCCTAGTTTGTTTTCTTAATTTTGAAACAGGTTTCACTCAGGTTCCCAGGCTTGCCTTGGACTTGGGATCCTCGTGCCTCAGGCTTCCAACTAGCTGGGACTGTAGGTCTGTGCCACTGTGCCTAGCACTTACTTTCGTTCTTAAGTATTACTCTGTGCTTTTTTCCTTTTATCCATAGGCTACAACAAGAAAGGGAGCTGGTATTAACTCATTTGAGCCAGACCTTGACTGCAGAGCTGACAGAACTCATGGTGACAGAGTGTGTGTGGGAAACTTGCTCCCAGGAGTTGAAGTGAGTGAGGCTCAGGTGGACTACAGTGTGGGGTATGGAGGGCGGGAGGAGGGTTAGAAGGCACTCTGTGAGGCTGGCGCAGTTCAGGATAGCAGGTTTGCACCTACAGTTGAAAAGGAGCCTATCTGTTGGATAGTGAAGTGGTGACTTGCCAATTCTGTACTTCAGGGAGCAGAGCAGGGAGGGCCTCACTTTCAGATTCCTCTTGTGGACCCTGCACCGGGCGTGGGGTCATGTGTCTTGGCAGATTCACTGGTGTAGTCTTCTCCACACCAGGTTGTTTACGATCAGTGTTTTTCAAGTAGGAGACTCTCCCTTGTTTTATATGTTAGAAGGCATCCTTGGGCTATTCACTTAAGAACGTTAGTAATTTTGTGGCCAAGTTTCCGGTTAAAAAAAAAAAAAAGGCATTCCAGCTGTGAAAGAGTATCTGTCTTTATGCTTAAGCTTCCATGATATAGCCTGAAGGCCATGGACCACATTGCTTTAACACTTCTAGTGCAGATGGGGAACTCACCCAGCAGGCAGTCTGTATTTTCATTTCATTTCATTTATTTATTTTGATACTGGGGGTTGAACCCAGGAGTGTTCTAGTAATGAACTACATCCCTTTTTTGAGATGAAGAGGAAAGTAGGACATGGTTGAGACAGGTTCTCTCTCTCTCTTTTTTTTTTTTTGTGGTGCTGGGGATTGAACCCAAGGCCTTATGTATACAAGGCAGACACTCTACCAACTGAACTATATCCCCAGCCCGAGATAGAGTCATTTTTTTTTTTTTTTAAGTTGTAGTTGGACACAATACCTTTATTTTATTTATTTATATGCAGTGCTGAGGATTGAACCCAGGGCCTCACACATGTTAGGCAAGCACTCTACCACTGAGCCACAGCCCCGGCCCCAGCAGGGTCTTTTTTTAATAACTTTATTTATTTTTTTATGTGGTACTGAGGATCGAACCCAGTGCGTCACATGAAGGCAAGTGCTCTACACTGAGCCACAGCCCAGCCTGAGAAGGGTCTCTTCAGTTGCTGAGGCTGACCTTAAATTTGTGATCCTACTGCCTCAGCTTCCTAAGGTGCTGCCATTATAGGCATGTGCCACCACACCTGGCAGCAGGCTGTGCATCTTTAATTAGTGTTTCCTTCCATCTGTCATAGTTTGGGGCCTTTTTCTGGTTTCTATAAAGGAAGACACCCCACAAATGATGGTGATATGTGTACTGTGAACCCCAGAACAGTGTTAGGACAGAGGTAAAAGCCCTAGCTTGCTGTGATGCAGAGACAGTGTCCTGCAGTTTGAGGAGGCTTGGTGTCAACTCAGCCCCAGGTTGTCTCCAAGGATGAGCTATTGGCTGTTGAAGCTACTTTGATTTTGTGACTATATGTTTGATACAATCCTCTGTGCTCTTGTTTGATAGAATTTTGTTATAAAAATATAATATACTGTTTTATCCTAGGCCACCACTGCATGGCCACAGGCGACCATCCTTAGTAGTCACCAGTGATTTATCATATATTTGGGACACTTCTAATTGTAATTCTCTGTGTTGAGATTTTTCAGTTGTCTTATGGCTATTTAAAAGTTAAAATTTTCAACTATTTTATTAGGATAAATATTTCCTTTGTTTTTCTTCTCTTTTTATGGAGAAGGGGTCTCAATATGTTGCCCAGGCTGTTCTTGAGCTCCCAGGCTCAAAAGATTCTCCTGCCTCGGCCTTTCAAGTGCTGGGATTATAGGTGTGTGCCATCATGTCCAGCTGGGCTAAAGGTTTACTTCTTTTTCTTTTTCTTTAATAGTGTACTTGAGTGAACTCAGGATTTCTTCAACACTAAGCTATATCCCTAGCCCCCTACCTTTTTTTAAAATTTTTGAGACAGTTGCTCAAGCTAGCCTTAAATTTGCAATCCTCTTGCCTCGGGTCTCCTGAGCCACTATAATAGTACATAGATGTGGACTACCATGCCCAACTTAAAGGTTCTTTTCTTTTGGTGGGGGTACAGGGGATTGAACTCGGACACTCAACCACTGAGCCACATCCCCAGCCCTATTTTATATTTTACTCAGAGACAGGGTCTCACTGAGTTGCTTAGCACCTCATTGTTGCTGAAGCTGGCTTTGAACTTAAAGGTTCATTTCTTGACTGTTACAGGGGTCCTTTTGGACATATACTGTATCATCTTATACCACTTTTGTTTCTATTTCTAGGTGTCTGTACTTTTTCTTTTTCTTGGGCCGGGGGAGGTACTAGGGATTGAACTCAGGAGCACTTGACCACTGAGCCACATCCCCAGTCCTATTTGTATTTTATTTAGAGACAAAGCGCCACGCCATGGCTGAGGCTGGCATTGTATTCGAAATCCTCCTGTTTCAGCCTCATAAGCTGCTGAGGTATCTGTACTTTTACATGAAGACATAATTACATTTCCTCATGAAGGACACAGACTCGTCACTTTTAAAGTCAGTTCTCCTTGTCTGGGCTGTGGTGCAGTGTCTCCACACTGACTACCCTGTTTCCTAGGAATGCAGTGGAGACAGACCAGAAGGTTCGTGTGGCCCGTTGTTGTGAGGATATCTGTGCCCAATTGGTGGACTTGTTTCTTGCTGAGGAAATTTTCCAGACTGCCAAAGAGACGCTACAGGAACTTCAGTGCTTCTGCAAGTATCTACGGCGGTGAGTCCTGTATTCTACAGATCCACACTCAGGGACTCTTACTAAATTCAACATGTATGAGCCATCAGTGCCTTTAGATAGACCTTTGTCCATTTCTCAGACACAGCAGTTGCTAGTGCAATCTTCTATCAGCAGATCATGCCCTCGACTGTGTTCTAAATCTTTACTCTGCTTGGTGTGCTTTGGGGCCTGGCAGTGCAGCACATTGAGCTTGCCCTGTTACTGTGTAGCATGTCACTACAAGTGAGTTATATACTACCTTGGTTCCCTGTTGATAGACTCCCACATGCCTCTCTTTGTAGCTGTGACAAAGTGTTGCAGAGACCACCTTGTACCAACAGTTCATGTATCTATATATGTGCATGCTGTGGGAAGATACATTCCTATCAGTGGAGTTTGCTGGGTTTAGATTTTGTCCATATTGCTGAATCAACCTTCAGAGACCATTCAGTGTTAACTCTTATATTTAGTAGTTTGATGCTATTTTTTGCTCTCATGCCTATATTTTAATTCTCATTCATTTCTCAGTTTAAGGACTATTGCTGGAAAAGACCCTAAACCATGTTTCTTCACGTCATAGTGCTGAACTATGACATCTGCATTTGTCCCATGGTGTTAGTCTCGAATGATGATATGTTTGTGTGTCCTTCAGGTGGAGGGAAGCTGTTACAGCCCGGAAGAAACTAAGGCGTCAGATGCGGGCCTTTCCTGCAGCACCCTGCTGTGTGGATATGAATAACCGGTTGCAGGCACTGGCACCCAGTGCAGAGTGCCCTATTGCTGAGGAGAACCTGGCTAAGGGCCTTTTGGACCTGGGCCATGCAGGGAAAGTGGGCATCTCCTGCACCAGGTCAGTGCCCAGCCATGCCTTAGCTCCTGTCCTGCAATGCTTCGCCAGGAACTGGTCTAAACTATGCATTTGCTAGTTAAGAAAAGTGGTATCAGGAAGTGAGGACAGGCGGGAGACTGCATTCTGAATGTGTCATTTCTATAGCTAGGGACATGTGACTTCCTTTACTACTGGGAAGCAGGGCTCTGATTTCATACTACTTTTTACTTGAAAGATTAAGTTTGGTGATTGACTCAAAATCACCTGTTTTTCTTTCTTCCCACTTTTAAAGTACATACATATCATTCTTATTGGTGGAGCCAGAGGCTCACTGCTGTATCTGATTAACACTCCACCCTCTGTTTCCTGCAACAGTGCCTTAGCACTCCCCACTCCTAGTTGCCCTGAGCATATCTAGTTCCTGGGGTCTAAACTGTCCAATCTTGGCCTGGTGGGGTTTGGTCTTTGTTATCAGGCCCAGTGTCAGTGTCACCTCTTGAGACTGCCTGTCTGGGCCACCCTGCTTCTCTGTGGGCAGGCCCTGGGTAGGTATGATAGAGGGGCCATAGCAGGCAATACTGCATTGAGGTCCATGTCTTATCTTAAACCAGATTCTGTAGTCATCTCTGAATCTGTAAATAGGTGGCGAGAGGGGCTTGGATGGTCTGGTTATTGTAAGGCATGCTGTGAGGTTGGGGCACTTTCTCTGCCCATAGCTACCTTGGAGTCACAGCTTCTTAAGTTTTCTCTTAAGTCCCCCTCCTCCTCACCAGCTGCCCTTCTCAGCCTTGGCCTCCTTTTCTGACACCCTTCACCAGCTTCCCTCAACTCAGCCCTTGCCCTCTATTCTTCCCCTCTCTCTGTTGACCTGTCCCCATCCTTCATACTGACATCTCCCTTGGTGCAGCTCCAGGCAGTACCTCTTCTCTGCATTCTAGACTCTTGTCTAGCTCCCAGCATGACTTCCAAATCTTAATTTTCCTCAACTTGCCTCTGTCCTGCTCCCAAGTGGCCATCCTGTGGTCACAGACATGGGCTTGCATTCTTCTCTCAGACCTACCCTCCTTGAGCTCCACCCTTAGAGCATACTTAGGGCCTAACCAGGTCTATCTCTGCCAGTGCTTCTCTCTGGATTATGGCTATAGCCAGAGTCCTCCACCCACCGAGATAGTGTCCCTTGTCATCTCATTCAGGTTGCCTCACCTCTTATTCATGATCCTGTGCTGTACAATAGACTGAACCCCTTCTCCTAGACACCGCTCCCCCCCAAACACTTCAGGCTCTGTGGTGGCATGGAGAGGCCATTCCCTCTTCTTCAATCTGTCAGAAACAGTCTTGCTGGCTACTCTCTTTCCTTCAGGTCTTTGCTCATATTTCCTTCTGTCCATCAGAGTGAGATGACAGCATGTAACATGGCTCCTGCCTGCTCTGCTACAATTGCCCATGACACTGACATGTCCTGCAAGCTGTGCCAGCCAGTACAGAGGTTGTTCTCGCCCATGAGTGTGTGTTCTAAAAGAGGACTTTTGTCTTATTGCTAAGTCTCCCATAGCCAGCTCACAGCAGATACTGAATGGATATCTGTGGAATGAAGGGTCATCTGACTAACCTAGTTCTTTATCAGAAAACATTTTCCCGGTCTTCTTAATACTTGACACAAGAAGGCACTAGCCAATTGCTTTTCATTCAGAAACACCAGTAAATATTCTAAAGTCCCTTCTGTGGCATGAGCATGCTGTTATTCTCTCTTCCTTTGTAGGTTGAGGCGGCTCAGAAACATGACAGCTCACCAGATGAAGGTTCAGCACTTCCACCAGCAGCTGCTGAGGTCTGTTGGCCCTATTGTATGTGCTTCTCCTCTGAGGCAGGTACATGGGATTAACCACTGTGGTCTTTCCCTTCCAGCAATGCTGCATGGGCACCTCTGGACCTTCCATCCCTTGTGGCTGAGCACTTCCCTGAGAGGCGGGAGCGCGTGTTCTGGAAGTTGGTACTAGTGCTACCTGATGGAGAAGAGCAGTCCCCGGGGAGTCCTGGCAGGTCTGACAGTGTTGTGAACACTGATAGTGTGATTTCTTGAGAGCACTGGCCAGGCAGGGCTGTGGGCCTCATATGGTCTGAACCCTGGAACAGATATATATATATTTTAAAAATATATTATGCTTACATATTTTTAAATACCTTTATTTTATTTATTTTTATGTGGTGTTGAGGATCGAACCCAGGGCCTCACACGTGCCAGGCGAGTGCTCTACCACTGAGCCACAGCCCCAATCCAGACTTATATTTTAATGCTTAAACTTGCAGTATGTTTTGTTCATGATTCGAAGTTGATACTTTAGATTGATTATCTTAATTTTTATTCCACTTTGTAGTAGTCTTGGTCCCAAAGCATTTAAGAGTTGATTGTCAATTAAAGCTATGCTTGGGTGTATTGACTAGAGCCCACTCATTTTAGACTCTTGGAAGAAAGTTTATGGTTTGTCTGCTATAGTTCCATTTTTTTCCCCTTAGGAAAAAAAAGACTTTTGGCATTTCAAAAAAGAGATCTAAAAAATGACATTATTTCCTATAACCAAATGGCTTCCAGAAATCCCACTTTTATACTTAGTACAGAACATGTTACTTTTTTGTTGTTGTTGTTGTTGTTAATAGCTTACTGAAATGTAATTAATTCATGTAGCATAAACTTTGCCCATTTTAAGTGTTGGTGTGTTTTAAGAGTTCAGTGAGTTTTTAGTTATATTTACAACTATCTACATCATTTTGTTCTGGAACATTTTTTTACCTAAGTAAAAGTCATATTTTCATTTTCAGTCTCCATTCTCTCCTACCCCCAACTCCTGGCAACTACTGTTTTTTCTTCTTTTCCTATGGATTTGCCTAATCTGGACATCTTATATAAATAGAATCATATGATATGTAGTTTTTTGTGACTGACATGTTTCCCTAAGCCTGTTTTCTAGGCTCATCCGTGTTGAGGCGTGTATAAATTTACCATATTTTGTTAGTTGATATTTGGATTGTCCATTCTTTGGCTATTATGAATAAGGCTACTTTGGACATCCACCTATTTATTGTGTGGACATGTTATACCTAGGAGAGGAATCACTATGGTAATGATGACTCTGTTTAAGTCTTTGAGGGACTGCCATAATGTATCCCATGGTAGCTGCCCTATTTCACACTCCCACCACAATATGGGAGGCTCTGAGTCCTCTGAACATATCATTTTTAAGCAGTTTATCATTGGGATAAGGAAGGAGGAAATCATGATGTTCGTCTCATAGGACAACTAAACAATGAAGAGTTGTGGCATTTTAAAAATACTTATTCATTTCTTAAAACACCTATTTCTAATTTACTAAGTTCATTAGGAAATGTACACCACTTAGGAAATCTTTAAGGTTTCAGGCATGAGAAATGTGTTTCTGTAAAATGTGTATTTCAAACTCCAGGGATGTTTTCTGTTCACAATCTTTCCTTAGTACTGAATCTTCAGTCACATCAGAATGAGATAGTTCCATGAGTTTCTTCTTTTCTTGCCCAAATACAACCCTGTAGGACCCAGCTCTGTTTTATTTATTTTATTTTTTCCAAAGATATATATTTTTTAAAGATGGACCCAATATCTTTATTTATTTTTTATGTGGTGCTGAGGATTGAACCCAGTATCTCACAAGTATGAGGCAAGCGCTCTACCGCTGAGCTATATATAACGCCAGCCTCCCCAGCTCTGTTTTAAATGACACCCTGTTTGGTCCATGTCAACCTCACAATAAGAGTTGGTGTCTGTGGCCCTAGGGTCTGTGTGGTATGTCTTCTTTTCTTGAAAATATTTATAGTTCAAAGTTAGAATCAGATTCTTCTTTAAGTGTTGTTTTTTTTTTTTTTTTTTTTTTTTATCTACAGAATTCTAGCAAATTGGCTAAAAGCCAAGTTCATGGGAGATGATGGTTCAGTTGGTGACATGTGTTCTAATAATGCTGGTGATATCCAGACACTCACAATATTTAATGCACTCAGCAGCAAAGGGGATCAGACAGTTTCTGTCAATGTGTGTATAAAGGTGAGCAATATTCACTTTGTGAATCTATCTCCATGGTTTTTTAATTTTCACTCACTCTCAGGCATCACTAGAATTATATAAGTGCTGCTTATTCTTTTTTTTAAATATTTTTAGTAGTATTTTTTTAAAGTATTTTTAGTTATATAAGTGCTACTTATTCTTTTTTAAAAATATTTTATAGTTGGACACAATACCTTTGTTTATTTAGTTTTTTAAATATTTTTTTTAGTTGTAATTGGACCCAGTACCTTTATTTTATCTATTTTTTTTTTTTTTTTTTTATGTTGTGCTGAGGATCGAACCCAGGGTCTCACATGTGTGAAGCGAGCACTCTACTGCTAAGCCACAACCCTAGCCTCTTAGTTTTTTTTATGTGGTTCTGGGGATTGAACCCAGTGCATCATGCATGCTAGGCAAGCACTCTACCACTGAGCCACAACCCTAGCCCGCTATTTATTCTTTAAAGTGTTTTTGAAAGACTGTGAGGCTGAGAAGCAAGTGTTGGTTCTGTCTTTTCTTGTGTCTTTTATTTTGTTTTTGGTGGTACTAGGGATGGACTAGGGGCACTCTACACTGATCTACATCCCTAGCTCTTTTTATTTTGAGACAGGGTCTCACTAAATTATCCAGGCTAGCCTCAAACTTGTCATCTCCCTGCCTCTGCCTCCTGAGTAGCTGAGGTTGCAGGCATGCACCACCATGCTTGGCCTTCCTCATGTCTTGATGATAACCCGTAACCATATTTGGTGAGAGCCTCCAGGCTGGAATCTAGTATATGAATACATTAAGTAGCTTTCTGTTACTATATCAAATACCTGAGATAATCAGCTTATTAAAAGAAAAGGTTTATTTATTTTGGTTTACAGTTTAGAGATTTGAGTTCATGATCAGTTGGCCCTACTGCTTTGGGCCTGTGGTGAGACAGTTCCCATCATTGTGGGAACAATTGGCTGGGAAGCAAAAGATAGGGAGAGAGGAAGGGGCTGGGTTCTGTCCCCTTCAAAGGAATGCATTCAGTGACCTGAAGACCTTCCACTAGGCCATCACCTCTTACAGGTTCACTACCTCCCTATAGCACCAAGCTGGGGTTCAAGCCTTTAACACGTGGGCCTTGGGGGACACTGCAGATTAAAATTACAGCAAGCAGTGAGCTTAGTGTCACAGACCTCTTTGAGAATACTGAAGTTGGCCTAGGTTTTCTATTACAAAGTTTCATTTTTGTTCTTTGTAGGCATTTTATGTACTGAACTGATTGGTTCTCTGGAAAGTTTGGTTTAATGAGAACTTCATTAGATTTAAACCTATATAAATTAGTTTTAGGTTTCAGCATTCATATTTGAAAATGAAACCAGATGTGTCCTTTGAAAGTATAGACTTCAATGTTGAACAGACTTGGTGTCAGTGGCCACTACTCTGGCCAGCTCTGAGTCTAGGCATGGCACTTGACCTCACTTGTTCTATAATGTGACAGTCTTAGTCGCAGTACCAGAGTCTCCTGAGGACTAGCTGGTCTGAGTGTCTGGAGGAATGCTCACAATGAGTCCAGTCTGTTTTCTCTCTCTCCTTCAGGACTGGCTCAGAATAACAAATATTATTATCTTATGGTTTCTATGGGTTAAGTATCCAAATACAGTTTAGCTGGGTCCTATGACTCAGGATCTCTCACAAGATGGAAATCAAGATGTTGGCTTGTTTTATGGTCTCATCAGAAAGCTTGTCTAAAAGCTGCATTTCCTTGGAGGCTGTGGACAGAGACTTTCTCCACTGCATGCCATGGCTTCTCCATGAGGGAACTCACAACATGGCAGTGAGTGAGGAAAACAGGGTGGCCAAAATGGAAGTCCAAGTCTCTTCATGACCTAGTTATAGACGTGATACCCATTGTGTTAGATTCTCTCTGTTGGAAGGGAGTCATTGGGCCCACCCTATATTCAGGGCAGAGGACTCTGCAAGGTATAGGTACTAGGAGGTGGGATGTGGGGGCCAACTTGGTGTTACACACCAACCTAGGTGAGGAGAGACCTTTTATATCAGGGTCCCATCATCTTCCCAGAATAGCTATACCATCCCTTTTATTATTACTTCAGCAAGTGGGGTCCCATTTTGATGTCTCTGAACCAGAAGTGTTCTTCTATGACATCTTTTTTTTTCTTTAATAGATGCCTTCTTTCCTCACTTACATAGATTCTCTGTATCTTTTTAATTGTTATTGTGTAGACTATATATATCTCGGTAGAGTTTTCCACATGTTCTGTCACTTGACCTGATATATCCACGTCTCTTCTTTCCTTGGAGCCCTCCCTCTGAGAAAGTGCCATCCTCTTGTTCTACCCTGGGCTGATAGCTTCTACCAGGGTATGGCTGTTACTGGGACCTCTATACAAATAGCATGCATCTTTGAGCCATCCTTGTGAGCATCTGTCTCTGTTCTTCCACCTGCTAGTTTTGTGACCTTGAGAAAGCTCCTTAGCATCTCTGTGCCACTTTTGTAGGGATACTCTGATTGATACATCTGTTTCATTCTCTGATATTATCTGTTTTAGTCATAGAAGTTAAAATAAGCCATGTAACGCAGTGCACCTAATATGTGGCATGATGCTCATCAGGCCCTTGAGGTGAAATGAGTTTGTACGTGCAGAGTTCTTAAAACATTTCCTGGCTGATACCAGGACCTTGCTTATTTCATCATTAGCAGCAGCAGCAGTGGTTTCTCTTGGTTTAGTCGTCGTTTGATGGTATGTTTTCCAGCTGCTTCAAAGGAAGGATGCATAGAAGGGGGATTTTCCAGGTCCTTTCCTTTCTGAAAACATATATTTGTTTTATCCTTACATTTGTTTCTTAGTTTATCAAGGTTTTTAAAATTATAGAAAATTATTTTTCTATCAATTTTGCTCTATTGTCACCTAGCATTTATGATTGCTATTGAGATGTCAGAGAACTCTCTTTTCCTTTACTCTTTCCTCTTCTCTTGTACTAGGGATTGAATCCAGGGGTGCTTTGTCACTGAGCTACATACCCAGATCATTTCTTTTCTTTTTTTTTTTTTAAGTATTTATTTTTTAGTTTTAGGTGAACACAATATCTTTATTTTTACATTTATGTGGTGCTGAGGATCGAACCCAGTGCCTATTGCATGGTAGGCAAGCACTCTACCACTGAGCCACAATCCCAGCCCCAGAGCCTTTCTTTTTAAAAATCATTATTTTGAGACAAGAGTGTCACTAAGTTGCCAAGGCTAGTCTCAAACTAGTGATTCCCCTGCCTTAGCCTCCCAAGTTGCCTGGATTACAGGCATGTACCAGCACACCCAGGGCTGGAGACTCATTTCATTTTTGTGACAGTTTTTGTGTCCCTATGTCACCTACTTTCCTTCTCTATTTTCATTTCACTCTGAAGCCCCTATTTGATAGATGCTGGACCTCATCAATTGATCATATGTTCCTCTTATCCTTTTTCTTATTTTTGGTATGATGTGTTCTGGAAGATTTCCTTATAGCATCTCATTTCTATTTGGGGATGCATTGATTACATCTTTGAGGAAGACGGGGATTTTTAGATCTACATTTGCATATGTTCTGTGTACCATCTGTTTCCCCTGGGTCTCTTTTGTGCTGGAAACTCCTCTAATACCTTAGCTGAGACTGTCCAGCTATACCTGAGTGAGACCATAAAGGTTGGCAAGAAGTTTAGCAAGCCAACCTTTTTTAGGGGGACCCCCCAACTGTCTGGAGCTGAATACCTGTTCTGTGGGCTATTTAGTTTCTTTAGAAAGGACTTATCCCACTCTTCCTGGGTAGTTTCTGGTGATCTCAGGGTGGGGTTAGGGGTGGCCAGTGCCCCCAGCAGCCTTTTATGAAGCTAGCTCCCTCTGCTTCTCTGACCCATCTCGTTATTGCTCTCTAGAAAAGCATCAGAATCCCTTGTTTGCTGCTGGCTTGCCTTTCCCATTTTTTGCATCATGAACTTAACTGTTTTATACCTGTTTAAGGTTCATTAAGATTATAGAAATGTGAGCTGTGCACAGTGGTGGCTTGGGAGGCTGAGGCAGGAGAATTGCAAGTTCAGAGCCAGCCTTAGTAAAAGCGAGGTGCTAAGCAACTCAGTAAGACCCTGTCTCTAAATAAAACAGGGCTGGGGATGTAACTCAGTGATCAAGTTAAGTGCCTGAGTTCAATCCCCAGTACCAAAAAAGATTATAGAAATATAGTCAAATAGCTCTTACTAGAGGTTAAATTATCTATTGACCTGGATGTTTTTCACACTTAATTTATGGTCTCATAAAGGAAGGCTGGCCTAGCCTGTCCAGAGCATAGTGAATGTTTGGTGCTTGGGGATCTTAGGCTGCAGTTGCTCTGGGGCAGACCATATTCCACTAACTTGTTCCCTGGAGCATCCATCATGATGGTCTGGGTGCTGTTGCAGGTGGCCTGTGGTACCCTCAGTGACGGTGCCCTTGATGCTGTGGAGACCCAGAAGGACCTCCTGGGAGCCAGTGGGCTCATGCTGCTGCTTGCCCCCAAAGTGAAGAGTGACGACGTGGCAGAGGAGGATGTGTACTGGCTATCGGCCTTGTTGCAGCTCAAGCAGCTCCTGCAGGCCAAACCCTTTCAGCCTGCACTTCCACTGGTGGTCCTTGTGCCCAGCTCCGGAAGGGATGATGTCAGGAAGGAAGTGGAGGATGGTTTGTGAAGGAAGTCTCTTTTATGATCTAGCGTTGCTTAATAAATGAGTGGAGCCATGGGTGTAAGCAGTGGTGTTAGGAACTACTGAGACTGGAGACCCACTGCATCTCTCCACTGCTGGGTAGGGTGGGGTCAGCACTGTGAGGTGTCAGGTGTGCAAGCAAGTGCAGACATATGACTGTCATCTGTTTATCTTAAAGGTCTGATGCTACAGGACTTGGTTTCAGCTAAGCTGATTTCAGATTACACTGTTACTGAGATTCCTAATTCTATTAATGATTTACAAGGCACCATGAAGGTAAGGGTTTTTTTTTTTTTTTTTTTGCGGTACTAGAGATGGAATCCAGGGGTGCTCTACCACTGAGCTGTATCCCCATTCCTTTTATTTTTTATTCTGAGACAGGGTCTCACTAAGTTTTTAAACATCCTAAGTTGCTGAGTCTGGTCTTGAATTTGCGATCTTCCAGCCTCAGCTTCCCGAGTTACTGAGATGTACACGCATTTGCCACTGCTCCCATCTAGGTTTCATCATCTTTAAAGGTCCATCAAGATAATTTTTTTTTGTTTCCCTTCTGATCTATCTGAAGTTTTATATATATATTAATATATATTTTAATTTTGTTTTATCTACATAATTTTCTAAAGATATAAGCAGGATTCAAAATAAAAGATAAAATTTGCCCATATTCTGCTATCTACAGCAAATCAAATTGTTCATATAAATTTTACCCCCACCCTCTCCATGTTAGGATAGATCTTATGGACACTTTATCACAGTTCTTTTTATTTTTTATTTTGAATCCAGGTCTTGCTAAGTTGCTGAGGCTGGCCTCAAACTTGTGATCCTGCTGCCTTCGTCTTCTAAGTAGCTTAGTATTGTTTTTATGAATTTAAAATATGACCATTTATGCCTTATATGGCAACATCAGATACCAGTGTTATTTTTCTAGAGTGGTCGTCCATGAAATATGTAAAGACATGTGAGATGACAGCTGACTAATTGTACCTGGAGAAAGAAGTACTAAGAATAAAAATAAAAATAACTTCAGAAAGGAAGATAACTGTAGGTGTGAAGGCATCCTGGCATGTAATGAAGCTGTTAGTTCTTTGGCCAAGAGATATGCCTTCCATTTTTGTGTGTGGTAAAGAGGATGTGCAGGGATGGTTTTCTGGGGCCCTGGGCCGTTACAGGGAGTTCCTGCAGGCCCCACTCCTTAGCTGGATGGTCCAGGTGGGGACACACTCTTGTGCTGTTGCTGGGTGTGTCTCCAGGGCCCTAGACAGCCACTCAATCACAGAAGAACCTTATAGGCCCTTCCTACTACCTGTGGTTAAAGCCTGGTACTATGGTGGCATCTACCTCAATCAGTTATGAGTAAAGTACCAAATCATTTCAGAAAACTGTTTTTGAAAACCATTGTGAATTATTTAACCATATCTTTCCCAACTGTCTTTGCTTTTTAGGTTTCTCAGGCAGTGCAGTGGCTGGTCTCTCGCTGCCCCCACGTTCTTGACCTTTGTTGCCAGACTCTTATTCAGTACATTGAGGATGGGATTGGCCATGAATTTAGTGGTCGGTTTTTCCATGACAGAAGAGAGAGACGTCTGGGTGGCCTGGCCTCACAGGAGCCCAGTGCCATCATTGAGCTCTTTAACAGTGTGCTGCAGTTCCTGGCCTCTGTGGTGTCCTCTGAGCAGCTATGTGACTTGTCATGGCCTGTCACTGAGTTTGCTGAGGCAGGAGGTAGCCAGCTGCTTCCTCACCTTCACTGGAACTCCCCAGAGCACCTGGCTTGGCTGAAGCAGGCTGTGCTTGGGTTCCAGCTCCCACAGATGGACCTTCCACCTGCAGCAGGTGTGTGTTTATACTGAGAGAGAAGTGGAGGGCTGGCTGTAGCAGAGCCTCATGTTTTCTTCTTGATGTGACCATCCCGCATGTACTGGGTTCAGTGTGAGGTCTGCAGTCCACCTCAACTGTGCATCCACCTGCACCTGCCTTTGCGTTCATTGGTTTAAGGAGCCAGGGATTTTTATGGAGTGGGGACTCTTGATCTTTTCCCAGCACTAGCCCCCGGCTGCCCTTCCTCATAGGTCCCAGTTATTGGAACAGAAGTTGTCCTTGAGCTGTTGGCTCTGCTGGGACCGTGACATCAGTTCTGATTCATGTCCATGTTCCTTTGAATCCTGCCTGTGCCTACTGTTCCTGGGCCAGGCCTTTGGGCCATTGTGATGGAGCATCCGTAGGTCACCTCAGTTGGCTCAAGCCTAGCATGGCAGGGGTTGCTTCTTCACACATGAATGCTGGTGTTAGGTAATGAGCCTGATGGCTACTTATCTGGCAGAGTGTGGGGCCTCAGCATGCATACTCACTTTGGGCCTCAGGTACCCTTCCAAATTCTCATCATTCAAGAAACCTGAAGGGAAGTGAACCACTCAATGGAAGCCCTCTGTGTCCTCAGCTAGGTGGTGTTCCCCAGGGGAAACCAAGACCACCTACCCGAGATTTTCCTGGCTGCTTGTTATAAATATGATTCCCGGGTAGCCATAGATCCATGTTGTCAAGAGTATCTAGGGTGGGCCTTGGGAGCAAGCTCTTCTTTCCCTCAACAGCTGTGGTTCTGCTGTGTGTATATTTGAAAGCAGACTACCAACTATACAGTTGCTGTTACCTAACAGAGATAGTATTAACATTTTCATGTACATTTTCACCTATACTTTGGTCAAACCTATAATTCATGAGGCACTTTCTCTTCAGCACCCTGGCTTCCTGTATGCTCCATGGTTGTCCAGTATACCTCCCAGATCCCCAGCTCACGCCAGACGCAGCCCGTCCTCCAATCACAGGTGGAAAACCTACTCCGCAGAACATACCGCAGGTGGAAGAACAAGAGCCCCTCAATGGACCAGGGGGCAGGACCCTCTGTCGAGGAGATTCCTTGGGATGACATTATTGCCTTGTGCATCAACCACAAGCTGAGGGATTGGATGCCCCCCAGGCTTCCTGTCATCTCAGGTAGTTGGAGCTTGGCGCTATAGGTCCTCATGAGACTTTCCTGGTTCCGTTTTAGCAAAGGATTGTATTTATTTGACGTTGCTTCTTTTCCCCAGTCTCCATTTCCTTAGGACATCCCTCTAAGTCCAGTGACTTCCAGGTGACGTGTAAACATTGGGAAGAACTAAGAAGGTTCCAGGAGACCTGGATTCCCCTGCCTGAAACAGGCCTCCTAAGTTGATTCTAATTAGAGGAGATCTGTAGCTCTGAGAGTTGTTATTGGTGCTACCACAGTCTGGACATGAGCTGTCTGGACCTTGAGTGGCTCGTGAACACTCGGAGTGTTGAAATGACCAAAGCATGGAAGTAGTATTAGTCAGAAGGCTGTCCTTAAATCAGTAAGTCTGAGCAAATGCCAAGTGGCGACCTGTTGCTCTTTTGATAATGTTTTTAATCTATTTTTGTATTGTTTTCTCAGAGGCATTGAGTGAAGATGGTCAGATATGTGTATATTTTTTTAAAAACCATTTGAAAAACTACGATGTTCCTTTGTCATGGGAACAAGCCAGAGTGCAGACACAGAAGGAGCTACAGCTGAGTCAAGGACGGTGAGTTCCATGTTCAGTGTGTTTCTGTTGCTGTCCTAAATCATATTGTTCTTATCCAAAAGTACACTGTGGAAATTGGCATTTGGCACACAGAATCTCGCCCATCGTGGGTCAGTTTTGATGATCCTTAAAGCATAGATCATTCTGTTGTCACAGAACTGTTCTAAAACAAACTCAGAGGCATGTCACTTAATTTATCAGATGAGCCTGACCCTGAAGTCATATCCAGTTGGGAGAGTGCAAATGAGAAGATTGGTACCTTGTCCCACAAACCTGGCTTAAAAATACCAAGTAAAGTGTGTGGTATATGCAGTCTTGTAACATCTAAAAAAATTCCCAAGTGGTCTTTCTCACAAGATAAACAATATCAACAGTAGAAATCTATTAATGTAGTCTTTTGCCACAATATGAAAATAAGAGATCATTTTATTAGTTGTTGAAATGTATTTATTAAAACTTACACTCATTCTTGATGTTATTATGAAGTTTCAGTAAAAAAAAAAAAAAAAAAAAAAATCCATTAAACTACCAAAAAGGAAAGGAAAAAAAGAAAAAACAGAAAACAGCAAAACAAGCAGCATTTGTTGTTCATGTTGTCACTGCTGCTGCCTATTGTCCTGGATCCTGACTACTGTAGTGACATGGGATAGATGGGCAAAAATTATCAAAGGAGAACTATAATTTCCAGACAGTGTACCCGTCAGTCTGTGATAACCCACAGCTGATCCCTTAGGACTGTCCAGAGTTCAGATAGATGACTGACAACCTATAAAAAATTCTCACAACAGCACAAACCCATGTCATCATGAATTGACAGGCAACGCCTTAACCCCAGCAAGGGAGTGTTCAGAGGCTTGAATGTGCAAAGGAACCCTGAATAAATGAGACATAGACTAGCTTTTGACATTAAAAATATGCAATGTTATAAAGGTGCCAGTGCCAGTCATAAAGTCAGGGCATTGCTAATCAAAGGCCAATAATATTTCCCACTGATATTGACAAATTAATTCTAAAATTCTTCAGGATAATAAAATAGGTAGCAATCGCTGAGAAGATTTTGACTAAGACTAAGAAAGAAGGTCTGCTTAGTCTAATATCAAAATATATGGTAAAGCTACAACACTTAAAACCAGATGGTAATGCTGGTGTATTACAGACCAGAATGGAAAGTCCAGGAATAGAACTGTATGTGACAGGACTGCAGTGCCAAGTCAGATTAGTTGTGAAAGGGCAGACATTGCCATCTCTTTAGAAAGAACCATTAGAACCCCTCTCCAACCATTCGCAGACATTCTTCCAGACGGATCCAAGAGCTAGATGTAAAGTGTAAGAACAGGGGCAATATAGGCCAAAGCAGGGCAAAATAGAGAATCTGTATAGAACCCTGGGATGGGAAGCAAGACCCAAAGTGGAGAAGCTCTAAGAGCCCAGCTGCCCCATGAGAGCAGAAGATTCCAGGAGCAACAATGTCTCTTGATCCTGCTGTGCGTGAAGATCACTCAGCAGTCAGGGGGCTACCTTCTCTCTGAGCCCCATTCCCTGAATTGAGGGAATTCTAGAGGCAGGTACAGGACTGACCCAGGCTTGATCCGTCACAGGAGGTCTGAGGCTTGTGACTGCTTAGGGTGGGTGCATGTGTGTGACTTGCCCATATGCTCTGCAGTGCTGTAGGAATCCTTTCTCCCACTTTCCTGACCATAAGCATTTCAAAACATGTACTTACAGTTTGGGGATAAAGTCTTTTCATTATTCTGCAAGCAATTTTCCTACTCCGTTACTTCACGTGCACCATAAAGGGAAGAGGAATGAAGAGTGTGACCCAGAGGAGCGGAGTCTCAGTGCAGAGGATCTGATGCGAGGAGCTTCTGCCCAGGAACTCCTGGCGCAGTGTCTGTCCAGTAGTCTATTAATGGAGAAGGAGGAGAATAAGAGGTGAGGCCTGTTCCCTTCTGATTCATGTGTGCTGTTCAGTTCACTTCATGCAAGAAGAGAGAGAGTAGTTGCTCATTTGAATAGACAGCTAGGGCAAAAAGACCAGAAGGTTTAGTGATGTGATTTTGTTTGAAAAAGAAAGTGAGTCCAACATTTGTAAAGTATAACCTCTTGGAAGACCGGCAGTGCCCTAGGTGATTTATGTTTTGTTTTGTTTTTTAATTTATTTTCTAGTTGTAGGTGGACACAATACCTTTGTTTTTTATGTGGTGCTGAGGATCAAACCCAGTGCCTCATGAATGCTAGGCAAGAGCTCTATCTCTGAGCCACAATCCCAGCCCACTGATTATGTTTTTAACGGTTATGTTATTTGAAATTGATTTCACTAATTGTTATTGAAAGTTAGCTTCAGATTTTTTGTAGGAAATACATGTGGCTGAATCTACCCAAAAGATGGCGAGTGCTAAACAGTGGCTGTCTGCCCTTGGTGGTCTGAGACTTCTCTGGCTTATTCCACTCTGAATGAGTAGGAGCTGGTGCTGAACCTTTGTGTCCCTCACTGCCCCCCACTCCCTCTTGAGTTTTCACTTGGTGGCCTTATTTATAGTTTTACTAAGAAATAAAACTAGTTAGAAGGGACTTTATATAGGTCATGCTCCTGCCTCCACTGTCTTGAGCAACCATGTCTAGGAGCCTCTCTCTGACCAGCCCATTCCATGTTCCCTAGATGGGGAGGAATCATTCAGCTGGTAGCCAAAGTCAGCCTTCCCCTTGGATTTCATCTTCCACACACTTAAGGGCACTCAACCAGTAGGTGTCCCTCTCCTGTGTCATTGTCTGCTAGAATGTACCAATCAGTGTGCAAACATGAATACATGTTGGCATTGCTCCTCCTTGTCCCCATTCCCTTAATTACCACCTCATGTTTATATTCCCTTAACAATAAAATGTCTCTAAAACTCGGAAATTCTTTGATTCTCACCTCTGCATTCTTCTTTCCAGTCAGCCTGCAGAGGTTGAATGTGGCCATGAACCACCAGCCCTGTCAGCTGTCCACACCTTTTGTTCCTTGCTGCTAGGATGCCCCTAGTCCCCTCCCCAGGATTTAAGTGCTGGCTAATCCTCACCTCTCAACTGATTCTCAGGCCCAACTCCAGACCTAACATCTGGATCATCTGTACCCACTCCTCTGTGATTTTATGCACTCATGGATTTTGAGACGGGGTGTGTGTAGGGGAACGTCCTGCTATGTTTCCCAAGCTGGCCTCAAACTTGTGATCCTCCTGTCTCAGCCTCCCAAGTTGTTGGGCTTACAGGCATAAGGCATGTTCCTGGCTTCCTATTATTTCTGAAATCATCTTTAGACATCTATTGGATGTCAGGCATTGCAAAGTTAACATATTCCATATCCAATTTTCCCCCAACCACCCCTCCTTCGGTGGTCTTTTGTGTGATGGCAGTACAATCCTTCTAGATGCTCAGAATCACGCCCCTATGTCCTGATCATCTTCAAATCCTGTTGGCTCTAATGAAAGTATACTCAGAATTAGACCATTTGGTGTGACTTCCATGGCTATCACCTGGCCTAAAATGAGGTCACTTTCCTTGTGGATTATTACAGTAGGCCATAACCTAGCAGCAACTGCACAGTGGGCACCTTTCAGGTGTGGGGGTCATGTCACTCCTTTGCTCACAACCTCTCAGTGGCTTCCTCTTTCACCTGGAAGTAAAGGCAGATTCCTTACAAGGGTGACCCAGGCCCTGTGTGACGTGCGCCCCATCTTCTTTCTTGACTTCTGGGTTTGCTTTTCCTCGCCTCAGTCCCCAGCCACTCCCAGCCACGCACATTCCAGGTCTCTGCTCAAGCATCTGCTTTTATGTTGGGCTTCCCTTGCTTATCGCTGCCCTCCTTGTTTCCATGGCTCTGCTTTATTTTTCTTTATCAGACGTTTGCTTTGTTCCTTGTCTGTCACTAAAGACAGGTTAGGGTTGGGGCCTTGTCTGTTTTGTTTCAGTGCTGCATCCCTGGTAGTTAGAAAGGTGCTTTGCATTTGGTGGGTGCTTGATAAATGTGTTGGAAAGAGTGAAGGAGTTCACCATTATCGCTAAAAGTGAGTTTACCTAGATATATATAATTATATATCTATATAATTATAAATCTATATAATTGTAACTAATATATCTATATAATTATATATCTAAGTGTGCTCTACCACTGAGCTGCAGCTCCAGACCATGTGTATGTATTTTATATGAGACAGAGTCTCACTATGTTGCCTAGTGTGGCCTCAGATTCTGAGCCCAAGTGGTCCCTCCTGCCTCAGCCTCCTAAGTAGCTGGGACAAATGCTGCCACCGTGCCCAGCTTCAGATTGTTCTTCTTAAAAAGACCAGTGTATGGAGATAGACAGCAGTGGAGTGTGAGTGTGTTAGATGCTATTGGGATATTATTTTGAGTTAGTTTTAAATTATAAGCAGCAATTTGTACATTTTGAAATCTATCAAGACATGAGAGCTGGACATGGTCACACATGCCACGAATCCCATCAACTTGGAAGACTGAAGCAGGAAGACTGCAAGTTTGGGCAACTCAGAGAGACCCCAAAATAAAAAGGCCAGGGATGTAGCTCAGTGATAGGTTTTAAAAAGTGTGAGGTAGGGCTGGGGATATGGCTCAAGCGGTAGCGCGCTCGCCTGGCATGCATGTGGCCCGGGTTCAATCCTCAGCACCACATACCAACAAAGATGTTGTGTCCATCGAAAACTAAAAAATAAATATTTAAAAAAAAATGTGAGGTATACATAGAAGGAAAATGATAGTTAACTTTGTGCTTCTTAGTGCTTAGGTGTTTCTGAACACATATTGTTTCAGGTTTGAAGATCAGCTTCAGCAGTGGTTGTCTCAAGACTTGAGAACAGTGACAGATACAACTTCTCTTCCCCTCTACCTTCCTCAGACACTAATGTCTCTTCCTCAGACTATTGAACCTGTGGCAAAAATACCTACAACAACCAGTTCACAGGTGAGAAGAGAGTGCATTTGGCATTCACACTAGAATTAGAGACAAGAGTGGTGCTGGAAAACAAAGTAGTATCTTGATTCATCATGTGATATCATGAAAGCCAATAAATTACTATCTTAGACTTTTGAAAAACTGATATTAGTTATAGAGACCCAACCAATTGAGTATCTGCTTGTGAAATGAATGAATGGGACTGAAACATACCTAAGAACTGAAGAAAACCTATAACCCTTGTGCAGTAAGGGCACTGATGAAAAAGGTGACAACAGAAGATTCTATTTTGGGATCATATGCTGTCTAAACCTTGGCATCACTTAGACTTGCTTCTGGGATTAATTCTCCTTGGGGAAATTAGTGAATGAAAAAGGCATGCTCAGAGAAGCCATCCCAGTGTGTTCAGCTGGTTAGGGGCAGAGTTGCTTTTCAAAGCCAGATCCTAGTGGCTTTAAAGCCAAGGGTGGTTCTGTTTCACCATCCTTTCCTCAGTGGTTAAAGAAACAAGAGTTTAGCCACAGATCTGTGCTGTTAGATGGTGAAAAGTGTATTCCTGAAGGCTTTTGAAAGCCCCTTAACAAGGGCTAAAAACAAAATGACATACTGTTTCTAGTTATCAGATTGGGAAATACTTTAAAAAATATTCATACCTTTTGATTTACTAATTCTGCCCTTAAAAAAAAAACCTGCCAAATATTCATAAAAATTACTGTATAAAAAAAGTTTGCTGTAGTGCTGACTATGCTGCATAAAAGTAGAAACAAACTGTCCAAGGACGAGAGTTTGGTTAAGCAAGTTACAATACCTTCATATGGCGAATGTATTGTCACAACCCTCGAGGAGATCTTATTAAAAATGAATGGCACTGGAAATTGTTCATGTAGAATACAAAGGGAAACAGTGTATTTCCAGATGATACTGGCTCCATGAATGTACTGGAAGAGGCTAGAAGCATGTTAGCCAAGGTGGTGGTGGTGGTGGTCTCCAGATGACGTTAACCTGAGCTGCTTTTTTATACCAACAGAATGCAAGGACAGAGGAGCAATTGCAGCAGTCAGAGGCAACAGGTACATCTCTGACAGAACGGTTGAAGCACCTGGAAAGGCTGATCCGAAGTTCAAGGGAAGAAGAAGTTGCCTCTGAGCTCCATCTCTCTGCACTACTGGACATGGTGGACATTTGAGCAGCCTAAGTGGAGAGCAGTTATATCCAGAAGAGTTTCTGCTTTTACTCAAAATTATGTTATTCTTAGATGGTTGATGTACTGTTGAAAATGTGATTAATCATGCAAATAAACCATCTGAATTGAATCTCAGATCCTACACAGTTTGCAGAATGAAATATTCTTATGTTTCCTGATCTCAGACGGTCACCCACCCACCTGCATATGTTGAAGTTGTCTGCAGCTTAGATTTCCATGTGTAACAAGATAATTCTCACCGCAAAGTCACAGACCCTGATGTGCCAGCCATCAGCTATGTAGGGATGGGTAAGGCATAGGAGCCCTGCCTGTCAGGAGCACCCAACTCACATGAGAGCTAACAGAGGTATGTGTATATAACACAGGACTCTTGACAATGTACATTGATAGGTATTCCTGGACTGGAAGCTGGGACAGATGGGAGAGTTTACTTGAGAGGACATGAAGAAAGCCTAGAGGCACCAGTTTGGTTGTGTGGCCATGTGAAAGGAACAGGTAGGCAGGGTCAGACCATATTCTGAGTGCTTGGGAATCAGTTGTTAGAGGATATTAGCCAGGGAAGTGACAATTTTTCTGTGCTCTTAGATGGTTCCATGTGGAAGAGGGAAGATGAGTCAGGAATCTTGAGAACTGAATGTTCCAGCTGTCCAGGTTGGAGAGGCAGGTTTGTAAGCCTGAGTTCTAGTAGCTGCTATGGAACAAGAGAATGAATTTGAGAAAAGTATTAACAGACTTGGTGACATTATGACTACCAATCTTAAATTGATACTCATATTTCCCAATTATAATCCTGGAAGACTATTTCATGTCTTCTGGTTCTCTTCAAACCTCCAATATCGTTAGATAATGACCCTACATATTTCAATGAGGAAACAAGTACCATCTAACCTCACCAAATCTGCCAGGCAATCCCTATATTCCAACACTACTCTTAGAATTTCTTCAGTGATTCACTTCATGTTTATCAACAGATATTTAATGTCATTTCTTAATCTTGATTTCAGACATTGTTAATTTCCTATAATGGGAGAGGAGTTAGCTCTCCATCCTGTCTTCCCTGCAATGTATACCATTCACACATACCTATATTTCCTTTCCTGTAATATGTAACAGTGTAACATGTTGGCTGAAATCTCCATTCTGAGTTCATATTTACTACTGGCTGCTGAACTTTTTTTTTTTTTTTTTTTTTGAGGTACAACTTTTGATTTTTTCCTAAAGTTAATAATTGCCTTATTTTTTTAATTTGCTTGTTTTTCTCTGTTCCTATTCACCCAAAATTCTCTACCCTAAGAGTAAATAAAGCTTCTTGTGACACAATCATATGCATCAGATAAAATGCTAGCTCCACTTTCTGTGGAAGACCACCCTCCAAGGCCTCCTGTCTTCCTGCCACAGCTTGGACATTTCCTGGATTCTAAGTCATATCTTCCTCTTCCTTGGTCTGCTTTCTCATTTTGATGGAGCTTAGTTTTAATAGCTTGAGCTCACATATCTAAAATGTCTTTATTTCTATCCTTAAATTTTTGACTCATCATTTGAATGGGAATAGCATTATAGACTGGAAATCATTCCCTTTTGTTTGCTTTTTATTATTATTTTTGGTTATCAGGATTGAACCTAGGTGTGCTTAACCACTGAACCACATCCCCAGCCTCTCTTTTTTATTTAGAGAGAGGGTCTTGCTAAGGTGCTGAGGCTGGCTTTGTGATCTTCCTGCCTCTGCCTCCTAAGCTGCTGGTATTACAGGTATGTCCCACTGCAACTGGCTGTTTATTGAAAATTTCAAAATCACTTCTATGGCAGGTGTTCTCAAATTTCCAAACATATGTGATCTTTTTGCTTCCTCTTGTTCCCTACCCAATTTATTGTGCTGGACTTTTTTTAAAAAAAAAATTATTATCATTCCAGTTTTTATTGCTATTAAACTACCCAAACAGTTTTAACTTTGAAGAGGACTCAACTGGCAGGTTTCCAGTTTTTTGTACCTTCTCCTGGGATTTATTGGCAAGAGTGGTCTTTTTATTCATTTAAGCCACATATATAGATTTTAACTTTGTTGGTTTGCTAGGTCAGTTATCATTCTTCCATCCACTCCCAGCCTCTCTTGCTAACTGGTATCTTCATTCTTTGTGGGTTTTGTCTTTGTCTTGTAAATGTGTGTTTGGGCAAGAAATGGAAGTCAATGCCTCTTTTCAGACTCCATAATTAATCAGAATTTAGAAAAATTCTGCCATTAGTCATTTCTCCCCATGTCTCCTGAGATAGTTTGTCAATCACCAGTAAATTGTTTTGCCACATCCAATCATGAATTCCCAGTCCTCGTTTAACATTCCTCCAAATCCTCAGCACAGATCTGGTCTTCCCTGGGCTTCCCTGACTCTCACCCCCTGGACATGACAAGGTTGGTGCCGCAGGGATTACTGAAGCTCTGATTTCCTGGTTAGTCTAATCTTGCGATTTCAAATGATGAAAACAGATGACTACCAAATTCCTCTCTACTTGAATGCAGCCTACTGGACATTTCCTCTTTAATGTCTAATAAACATATCATGACATGTCCCCAATTTACGTTGAGACTTCCAACCAAACCTTCCCTGTGTTACACACCCAGTGGTCCAGGCCAAAGCCGTGAGCCTGTAAGGTGTGGGCACCAACACTGACTTCTTACAGCTCCCTAGCAAAGTAGCCCTGTGAATTCTCAAAGACTGTTTTACATTTTTCTTTTTTTTTTTTACATATATATTAAAAAGAATAATGTTTTTTCCTCCTAGGTTCAGTCCACTAAAACAACACGACTCTTCTCTAATGGAGACCTGCGCTCACCTGGTGCAGGGCTCCAGGTGGGAGACCAGGTTCCTGCTCTCTGCACCTCGGGCCCCCTCCCGGGATGGGGGCGGGCGGGGCAGCTGGGCGGGGCAGCTGGTCCACCTGGAGGCCGGGGTGCCCAACTTCCGGCCCACCCCAGAGGTCCCCCGAAGCCCGTCCACCCGACCCCTGGCTCCCGTCCCCCATTTCCGGTTTCCGGCCCCCGCGACCCCCGGATTCCCGCCCCCTCCTCATCACCCGCCCTCTCGACCCCGGGCTCCCGCCCCCCCTCATCTCCCGCCCCCCTCATCTCCCCCCCTCCCTCATCTCCCGCCCTCCCTCATCTCCCGCCCTCCCTCATCTCCCGCCCCCCTCATCTCCCCCCCTCATCTCCCGGCCTCCCTCATCTCCCGCCCCCCCTCATCTCCCCCCCTCATCTCCCGCCCTCCCTCATCTCCCGCCCTCATCTCCCGCCCGCCCTCATCTCCCGCCCTCATCTCCCGGCCCCCCTCATCTCCCGGCCCCCCTCATCTCCCGGCCTCCCTCATCTCCCCCCCCTCATCTCCCCCCCTCATCTCCCGCCCCCCCTCATCTCCCGCCCCCCTCATCTCCCGGCCCCCCTCATCTCCCGGCCTCCCTCATCTCCCGCCCCCCCACCTCCGAGCTCCATGCCCCTTGACCCAGGGTTCCGGCCCCGCGTCCCCGCACTCACCTCAGGACACAGTGATTACACTGTGATTACTCTGCCCGCCACCACCCCCGAGGCTCTCGGAATCTGAGGTCGTCCCCAAACTCCCGTCTCCCAGACCCCGTGGACCCTCCTCACAAGCCTCCTGGTCGCCCCGGGGGCGCCCCCCTTTCACGCCCCGGGCCGACGCCGCGACCGAAGGTACCGGAAGAGCTGTCCCCGCCCACTGGACCCCTTAGCCACGCCCTTCAGGTCCCAGCCCCGCCTCTCCGGGCTGCCCGCCTCGCAGGACCCTCCCGCAAGTCCCGCCCCTAGCGCCTCGCCACTCCCTGGAGGCTCCGCCCCGGCCGCGTGTTTTGTCGTGCGCCCCACCAGCGCGGCAGCCGGCGCGCGGAGCCCGGTTGGTGGCGCTCTGATTGGCTGCGCGGCATCGGGCCACTGGGCAGTGCAGTCAGCCGAGGCGCGCGTCTGCGCAGTGCGCGGGGCGGGGATGTGCCCTCAGATCTAGGTGGCGGCTCGCGGTGATTCCGCGGAGCGCGGAGCTGTCATGACGGAGGGCACGTGAGTCCCCCGGCCCTGGCGGCGGGTTCGCGGGCCGGAGCCGGGTGGGCGCCCCTGGGCCGGGCGGGGCGGCGGGGCGGGCGCTCACTGCGCTGGTCCTCCAGGTGTCTGCGGCGCCGAGGGGGACCCTACAAAACCGAGCCCGCCACCGACCTCAGCCGCTGGCGGCTCCGCAATGAGCTGGGGCGGCAGACGTGGACGTACTGCGGCCAGGACGACGACGCTGGCCGCCAGCAGACCGGCCTGGAGGCCCACTCCCTGGGGCTGGACACTGTGAGTGGCCGCTCCCCGGTGGCACCCGCTCCCAAGTCACAGCGCCGGGCCGTCAGGCCGGGGGGTTGCAGCCCTGTCAGCACTTTATTCTCAGCACGAGGAAATCGCTGTTTTAGAGGGGTCCTTAATTTCAGTCTGTTTCAGAAGCGTCCTCTTTGCTTCAACCCCTTCATTCCCCACCCCTGCAAGGAATTGCCAGAATTTTGAACACTTTATTTTGAAATGATTTTGGATATAAAAAGAAGAATTGCAAAAGGTGGTTGTGACTTTTCTATTTATTCACAAAAAGAAGTTCTTTGATCTCATGTTCTGGTTATGTTCATCCATATACAGAAGTTCAGCTAATCTCAGTGGTAGGGTACACAGGGGCTGGCTTCTCTAGCAAACACCAGACCTCTTTCTGGGGAGCTGCTGTGCCTGCAGTCCTTTGGGCCCTTTCTGAGAAAGGCAGGAGTTCCAGGCCCAAGTGGGTGTCAGTGCCCTGTTCACACTCCAGGTACTGTGTTTATTTAGAGCCTAGGGTAGTGGCACATGCCTATAATCCCAGTGTCTCAGAAGGCTGAGGTGGGAGGATCACAAGTTCAAAGCCAGCCTCAGCACTGTAGTGAGGCTCTCAGCAACTTGGAGAGATCCTGTTTCAAAATTTAAAATAAAAAGGACTAGAGATATAGCTCAGTGGTTAAGTGCCCCTGGGTTCAATCCCTGGTATCAATAGGAAAGAAAAAAAAAAAAAACACAGAGAAGTTGTGAAGAAGTTTGCAGGAGACTGAATAGTAAAATTGTGAGAATGTGGAACCACACTGTACTCAGGTATTAAACTGTCTTCATACTTGATTAAAATAGCTGGAACTTTTAAAGTAATCTACACTCATTTTTTTTGACTTGGGCTGTGGGTTAGAAGGGCTCCTCTGGACAGCAGTCCCCTTCAACTCTCATTTCTTATGTCCCTTTGCAGAGCAGTTATTTTAAGGACTTGCCCAAAGCTCACACAGCTCGTGAAGGGGCTCTGAATGGAGTAACATTTTATGTGGGACTGCAGGCTGAGGATGGGCACTGGGCAGGTGATTACGGTGGCCCTCTCTTCCTCCTTCCAGGTAGGAACTTGCTGCCCCAGCCAGAAGGCAAGACTACCCTGGATCATCCTGGGGTTCTATTTTTTTTTTCATGTCTATGTTCTTGGTGAAACAGATGAGTGCACGTGAAGGGATTGGGAGGGTTTCCCAGAGTCCCAGTCACCCTGCTTCTGGTGCTGGGACGGAAGTGGAGGCACTCTGATATGGGCCAGGGGAACTGGGGAGGAGGCTTTTGAGTCCCAGTGCTGGGGGAGAGGGGAACTCTATGGAGGGCCCAAACTATGCCAAGGTGTTGTAGGTGGGCAGAGTCGTGTGTGGGGAGTTGGTGTCCATGTGAGTGCTGTGATGTTTGCTGTGAACTCACACTGAAAGGGCATGTGAGGGAGTTGTGGCAGTGGGAACTCAGGTCTGGGCTGGCAAGGGGTATGACCCCTGGGCACTGTCTGGTCTGGTTATACAAGACTATTTTGTATCCTGGAAGTGTTTCTCTGAAGAAGCACTCAGTGTTGTAATGTAGGAGATCTACAACTAGGACCCTCTTCCCTAGTGACATGCAATCTTTCTGTTTTAGTGGCCTGAATTCTTGCACAAATACAGGTGTGATTAGAAACTCTGCTCTGAGACTGTTCTTGTGCTAGGACATGGGGGTAGAGAGTGTCCTAGGAGCAGCATACTGGAGCTGGGAACAAAGGGCCTTGTTGATAGTGTTGTTTCCCCCACTATAAAAAGTTTTCAAAACAGAAGAACACAGGTGTTAAAGCAAGACTGGCCTCCCCTTGTCCACCACTGATCTTGAACCATGGCCCCTGTCAGGCCTTCAGGGCACTGTGGGTGGCCTCTTTAAGACTTTGTTTGGTGTTTCTGTGACTCGGGTAGCCTGGCAGCTTCTGCAGGTCCTGGGTGGGAGCACCACCTCTGCTGCTGCTCCCTTGAATCCTGTCCCAAAGTCCCAAAGAGGCCCCAAGAAGAATGACCTTCCTGGGCTTGTTTCCATGGGAAGGAGATCCATGGGGGCAGCTTCCTGTCAGGGTGGGTCCTCAGGAGGAAAAGGGGTCCAGTTTTAGCAGCGCTGAGCACCTGCTCCCAGTGAGGAACATCCTTCCTGCCATGCAGGCCTCCTGATCACGTGCCACATAGCACACATCCCTTTGCCAGCTGGATACAGAGAGGAGATGATACGGTACCTGCGATCAGTACAGCTCCCCGATGGTGGCTGGGGCCTGTGAGTATACCTGGCTGCACACATGTATGTGTGTGTGCATGCATGTAACCTTGGGTAGGTGTTGCTTGGGTTTCCAGGCTGCTGTTGAAAGGTGAGGGGACTGCAGCTGTGGACCTGGGTGGAGAGGAGTAGGCTGGTGCTGGGCTTCATTTCACATCTGTGCTATGGCTGGGGTTAATGGCTGGTGGGGACTTCTGAGACCTACGTGCCCTATGAAAGCCATCTGTGTTTCATCATAGAAGAAAGTTGCCTTTGATTCTGGGGTGGTGGCAGATGCAGGTGGGCACAGCAGGCCTCATCCCAGTTTGCTTTCCTGGTTGGTCCACATTCTGGGAAGACCGCTTAGTCCTCCTGGGTGTGGTTCCCCTGCCACAGTGGACTTGGACAGACACATCCACTTGGATGGGAAGTGAGCAGAAGGGCAGATGGGTCCTGCTTGGGTACAGATCCATCATCATGGGAGTTGAGCAAGCTCCTGGGGATAACTGAGTTGTGATGTCATGTCAGAGGAAAGTATTTTCACATTCTTCCTTTTCTAGGCAAACTTCACTACCAGCATTACTATTTTTCTTGGAAGTGATGACTAGAGGTCATTTTCTACCTTTGATCCTATAGGCACATTGAAGACAAGTCCACAGTGTTTGGGACTGCACTCAACTATGTGGCTCTCAGAATCCTGGGCATTGGGCCTGATGATCCTGACCTGGTGCGAGCCCGGAACCTTCTTCACCAGAAAGGTACAGGCTGCACAGCATGTGCGCATAATGGGTTTATGTGGCATTGGGTTGACAGGTTCTTGCAGGTGAGAATCAAAGACGTAGCTCTAGCTGAAACATTGGATGGAGTATGTGGACAAGAATGTGTCAAAGCAAAAACATGTGGAAATGGTCAGCTCTTCAAATTAAAAAGACTTAATAATTCTGTTTGTGTCATGAATTGGCAAGGGGTTAAAAGCGACATGTTGATATGGTACTTGCAGGACATACTTCTGGAGGCAGCCCAGCCATAGGCAGCTCTGGACTCTGATTCTCCTGGGGGCATTGGCTGCCTCTGCCCTTTCCTTTTGGTTTTGAAGGCCATTGCAGCCTTGGGCAGGCTCCATGGCTCCAGCTGCTCTGAGAACAAAGTGTAGCTTACATTGTTGCAATGCAGATCCTGGTGTGGCCCTGCCCCTCACAGACTTCCTGCACCCCGTCCTCTCTGTCATGCTTTCTGCTCCACGTGTAAGGGCCTCTGGTCAGTACCTCAGCCCCTTCCCTCCTCAGGGCTCTCACACTCCACATCCTTTCATTCCAGCTCCTCCCCACCCTGTTGCCTTACTTATTCTTTACCTAGCATCTCAGTGTCTTTTTTTCATTTCTTCTTGCTCTCCCAGGCCAATTAAAGTGTCCTGTACTCATTCTCATGAGACCCTGAATTCTCCCTTCAGATATTTGTCAGCCTTTGGTGGCATTGACTACAAGTCACAGGGTTACTGTCTGGGGCCCCAAGGTGCACTTCCCTTCCTGGTGGAGGAATGAATTTGGGCCATCCTTTGCCTGGTAGCTTCTTGAGTCTTTTTTGAATTTTGCACACCTGGGTTTGGGGTGGCCTCCTCATAAAACTTGTCCAAGTCAATGTTTCTGTGTGCTGTGATGTGGGGCCATAAGTGTTGCATCTGCTCTGGGGTCTGGCCCGTTTTCACCTGTGCCGGACTGTGTGTTAAGTATACATGGAATATATAGTCATACATGGCTGGGGCAGCTTAGGTTTGCTCCAGAGAGGGAGAAAAGGGAGTCCAGCTTCTCACACCCTCACCATCTTCTCCAGGCGCGTATAGATGTGGGCCATCATGGGTATCTGGGCCCATCTCTTGCCTGAGCAATGACACATCCCCCTTCTTCCTAGGTAGCTGCCTTCATATGCTCCTTCCTAAGGGTAAGGGCTGCAAATAGCTCTCCTGTTGTTAGACATGCCTGCTCCTGGGAAAGCCATTGATTCCACCCATCAGCTATGATGTCCTGGGTGGCTCTGAACCCTGCTTCTCCTATGGGAGTTGCAGGATCTGTGGCAGGCTTCCCTCAATTCACATAAGAAGGGGGACATGTAA